GCGTGTTTGGTAGTGCACTCAAGCGAGGTTGTGGACGGTGGAAGCAACATTTTATATAGGCGACTAAATTTTTGAGGGGCCGTAAAGACCACGTTCATGATAACTCACTGTGACACTTGCTTGATATTGTGATCGTGTCCATGTACGGGACTACGGCGAAAGTTTGTCTGGCTGTGGCGGGTTAGACTGCGCTAGCGTTTTCTTCGGTCTGTTTCCTCTCGTCTATACCAAGGAGGTTAAAAACGTTAAACCTCCTTGGTATACTCTCCTGTCGTATGCGCTGCTAAGCCCTCGTCACTTCGAAAGATGGCAACGTTTAGAAGCCTGGATAAATCACGTGACTGGGCTGTCCACCTCGTCGGTGTGGGGGTTACAATGTCCAGCTGCTGACTTGAAGGTCACGGGTTCAAACACAGCGGCGGCGGTTGCATTTTGGTGAAGGAGAAATGGTAGACCATGAAGTGTATGATGTTAGTGCTCTAGAAAAAAAAAAAAAAACAGATGGTCGAAATTTCCGGAGCCCTCCCTATAGGGCATCCCTCACAATTATATTATAGTCATCTCAGGACGTTTACCACAGATATTGTTATGCGTCAGTGGGCTGCGCAGCACCGGTTAGAGTGGTCACAGTCCGAAAATGCGTTAGCAGTGAGAAACGTACGTGACAGTAGATGTATTCATAGAGAGCATTTCATGTGATGTATTCTGGCGCTATCCTTGAATAAAATGAAATTCTGAACAAACGAAAGACGTTAAAACATGAAATCAATCTCAACAAAAAATTCTTAAGCGCCTCGCATCCAAAAATCTGGTATAAACACAGATGAATCAAATTTGTTGTCGTATCATCGTGCAATATTACAGCGAAAGCTGTTGTGAGATCAGAACAATGGTCACGTGTGGCGCCGTAGTTGTCCTCCGCCGCCACCACTGCTGTCGATGATGTCCGTAACGAATATTGCAATAAATGAGAACAACAACAACAACTGAGTAAATAATAAAACGAAAACGCTAGGTCTGCGTGCAACGCCCAGTACTGTCACAGGGAAAGCTGCACGGTCACAGCGAGAGCCTTTTCTTACCGCTCTTTGAGTAACTGCTACAATTACATTTGCTGGGTACCCACTACGCCCTAAATGGCCAGAATTTTTTTTGTAGTAGGCTGGCATTCGCTATGCTATCATTCATCATTCTTCGGAGAAGCTTCGTATCAGCTATGGATTTGCTAGGAATATTGTGTAATATTTTTATGTAGTGGCCGACAATGATGAAGAATTATGCCTGAAGTGGCTATGCGCTACAGTTAATAGTTAAACAAGAACGAGCTTTTGTAATGGGTTGGATAATTGGACGACCCACTCTTTACGCACTTCGCATTGTGTGAAGCCTCATTGTTCCTTTGATGCTATAAAACGCTCTGTTACTCATATTAGCGCAATTCCGTTACCGACATCAAACCTTCCTAAGGCCAGCTTTGAAATGAGTTTCTAGCGCCAGCGGGGCTCAGTGGTAGAATACGGGGCTGGCACGCAGCGGAACCGGGTCTCTGTCTTGCTGCTAGATAAAAGGGAAATGAATTACCAACACACCGGAGCATATACGATGCGCCTTTTCTCTCATTAATGTTTTCTCACCTTCCCTGTAGTTAGCGGTGCGGTTTAAGGAACGAGCTTCTAGTGCTTACTAAAGCATGTATAAGGCAATAACGACAATCGTTTCTCAAACGTACTTCGTGCGAAAGGCGGCCTGCCTCTTCAGCGTCCAGATAATTCGTGCGCTCTGTCATTATTTGTCTGCATCTGAAAGTGAAGGGACCAAGGAGGGCGGTACACCTGGGAGCCGTGACGATTCCAGCTTAACGTCCCGTCAGATTCGCATGTTTATGCCAACTATAGCGCGGCCGTCGGTGACACAGCGACGAGATGGTCGCTTCAACGTGGTGAACGGGCTCGGGAAGAGACGTTAATCACGTGGCTTGGTCATTTAACACAAGCTAACGCATGCTCGTTGCCACCACGTATGTCCATACACTTGTGCCCCGCAATAATATAATATTTAGGTACTCAAAGAAGAAAAGCTGTCGCTGATAGCCATAAAGTTAGTACCACTCTCTCCATCCTTCTCCCTTTTCACTATCCAACCTTCCTTCCGCAGGGTTATTGTCCACGAGCTACTAATGTCTAAGTTACATGCAGCCTAGTCGTAAAAGACGTTCCAGAAGTGTGACTAGTACTTTGATGACTAAGCGTCACAGTTCTACCCTAAATCAGTATGTGTTTAGAACATTTGAATAGAACAAGTGCACAACGAGAACTCGGTAGATCCGATTAAGTTATGCTTCACCCAAGGCTTACGGAGAACCCTAATAACCTCATGAATTGTGCAGCAAGCATTTGGGCCGAATCCTATCCGAGAGCCACCACGAACACAGGCCGCGCAAAGCGTCAGAGGTAGACGACTTGCCAAGGCTGGCTGCCTGATATTATGCTCCCTCTTTCTTTGAAGGCGAACACCTCAAAGTCTGTGTTTAATGGTCTCAAATGATCCAAACGTCTATGTTTAGTGGTCTCAAATGGTCTCAAATTGAGATATGTGAAATAGGCTATATCTGTGATTCTAATTAAACATTGTGCTGTATCTTCGCAATCAGTCCGCACACAACTAACAAATAGGTAAGAGACAAAGGCACACAAATGATGAACTCCTATCAACTTCCCATGTTTTTTTATTACATTCACATTGTTTTCTGTATATCTAGCACTTACCCGTGGAAGGGTACATAGAATAGGTTACCGCCGAAAAAATTCTAGTTGCTCCTACAGGCATCTGCAGTTCCGGGCATGAACAATATGCATAGGGGCTTCATCCAATTACGGTCTTTCATTTGCTTGGCGTCCACCACCGCTGCTCGCTAAAAAAGGTAGACCAAAGCTCGTTGAAAATACTTCCATTGCGCTGAAAGGTTATAGCTAAATGCCACAGTATCTTCCTTGCAGAACCCGTTTGCCCCGCCGCGGTGGTCTAGTGGCTAAGGTACTCGGCTGCTGACCCGCAGGGCGCGGGTTCAAATCCCGGCTGCGGCGGCTGCATTTCCGATGGAGGCGGAAATGTTGTAGGCCCGTGTGCTCAGATTTGGGTGCACGTTAAAGAACCCCAGGTGGTCTAAATTTCCGGAGCCCTCCACTACGGCGTCTCTCATAATCATATAGTGGTTTTGGGACGTTAAACCCCACATATCACTCAAATCAATCAATCAAATTGCAGAACCCGTGAAAAGGCCACGCACGGGCTGATTTCGATAGCGAGCATTAAATTTTATCTTTAATACTATTCACCTGAGGGGTCCTTGATACACGTTCTAATAGTGTTCGGGCATGAGTCTTCTCACATTGTCGCTTGACAAAAATTATTTTTGTCCTCCGAGAACGTCGGAGATTTCATTATGTATTTTCTCTGTTTTTGACACCACTGATGTTAAGGTCACGGGTTTGATTTACGGCCGCATTTAAAAGCGGGTGAAATGCAAGATGATTTGTGCACTTTGATTTCAGTGTAAGTTAAAATAAATAAAACTGGTGTAATCTGCTTCTATTCGCACGCACCGTCATGTGGCCTGAAATAATTAGCATTATCTCTTAGGTCTACGGGACATGCCTCTTCCATACATGTCTTTACTGACGGCTCAATGTTACCCAGTGCTTCAACAGCGGCGTTTGTCATACCATGCTTGAAGACCAGCAAACGCTTCCGTCTGGACCACCGAACAGCATTGGTGCTGACAGAGATCGTGGCCATCCGCGAGATGATTCGTTATATATCGACACAAGCCTTCTCGCAAGTGGACTATATTTTGGGGGACTCTAAACTAGCCCTTCAGGTCACAGATTTGGTCCTTAAACGGAGGTCATCTTGCTCTAAAAAGCGGTCGAACAGCATGACGTAGCTCATCGTGGATTCCAGGGCACTGCCACCAACGTGGTAACGAGCAAGGCGAATTGGAGAGAAAGGTAGTTCTCTATAACGTCACGTTATGGTCCATTAGTTTTTCCCTAGCGGGTATTAATACCGTTATTTATGCATCCCTCCGAGAAACTACTGCAGCATATTGGTCTTTTACCAAGTCAGCGTTACCACCGTCTTCATGAACTCGACCCAGGTGTGCTTGTTAGAATAAGGCAAAGCTTGAAAATGTGAAGTACACACTTACTGCACGCGAATAGGCGCTGCGTTCACTCGTTGTTATCTACAACTTATCGGCAGTGCAGACAGCCCCAATTGTGAGGCCTGTCACACTCCTGAGACTACTCAACATATCGAGTGCACCTTTTTGTGATATATCGCGCATATTAATTCGATGGTCACCGTCTTGTTGAAATCCACTAGGAAACAAATGTCTAAAAAAAGTTCTGATGTGACCACAACTCGTCGTCGGCGCGATATTCTGAAAGCGCTGAACAAGTTTTCGCGCGAGGCTAAACACAGCGAGAAACCGTATTCGTTTTTGCTTCATCGCCACCTTTCTTCTAATCACCAACATGACCTTTTCTTTTCGTTCTTTTCCACCTTCGCCCCTTTCCTAACGCTGTGTAGCAGTGCAGAAAATAGACTGAGGCCAACCTCTCGGCTTTTCAGCTACAATAAACACTTCTCTCTCTCTCTCTCTCTCTCTCTCTCGGGATGCTGGTAAGGAAAGAATAAATAAATTAAAATATCTGCTGTGAAAGAGAGGGATGCAGAGGAGGAACAGGACGTCACTACGTATCAGATAATGCAATCATACATACACGGTAAATTAGTCTGATATGACTGTTGAGGTCTCCTATTATGTACTTAAAACACTTCTTCTACTTCAGTCGCCGAATTTTAGAGCCAAGTAATAGATGACACACACGTAGATAAGTTCCGGTGGTCTCCATACCTATTCGTCAAATAACAAAACGATGTAAATCATATCGATTCTTATAAAAAACCTTCATAACACATTCCTTTCTTTCCCGCAGTGGTGCAGCAGAAATACGAAGTACGGGTCTACGACGATTTCGTCATCCGTATGAATACAGGCGTGCTGAGGTGTCACATTCCCAAATACGTCAAGGAATACGTTGTCGTGACGTCATGGACACGCAGCGACGGTTTCATCATCTCCGTGCAAGCTATTCCAGGCAAGTATTAACCCACCTATACTCACGTTGGCGGCAAGAAAAAAATGTAGGGGTAAAAAATTGCTGTGATATTTAAACGCGAGAACATTAATTGTCCTTGTGCGTAGTACCAAAGCGTATTACATCTTCGACAACACCGAAGGCAGAGAGAAAGGCTGCGGAGTGTGCATGCTTCGTTGCGTCTCCTGCAACGTGATACAAGGTATAGAGTGTTAGGCACTATTTAACCACGTGCAGACTTATTCGTCACTGTCATGCGTTGTACCTATGATGAATTGGTTCGCGCACTCGCCCAGCTTAGCTACAGAGCGATGGAAGTGGAGGTTAGGCAGAGGTCCAAATCATCGCGTACAATTAAAAAGATATGAGTTTCGCGTGGGGGTCACTTAAGGCGAATGCACAAAATCATGTTAATATTTCTTTGCTGAAGATGACCAAGCTTTTGGGCCGCTTTCCTGCGTATTTTTTATGACATTGGGTTGACACATTAAAACAAGCAATACTATTTCATAAAAAAAAGATAAGATACGTAATTAGTGTTTTGTCACCAGCACATCAAGACCTTGTGATATTGTATGGTGGCACGTATTTATTTTTTATTAATGCCACAGAGAATGTGTTTTTTTGTGCGTGTGGAATAGCCTGTGGTTTCCGTGGCGGAGGACGCAATTTTTAAGTACGGTAGCGCTTGGAAACTAAATGAGCGGCAACACATAACATCGTAGACCGTTTGCCGCTTCGCATAACTTTGCACACAAACAGATACTTGCGAGCAAAGTGACATTGGCGGCCTGTTTTGCCGCGAAGAGTTGTCTTAGATCCCGAAGTGTTTATTGCAGTGTGACTAAGACACAAAAAGAGGTACACACGCATTATCTTACGGTGCTGTTGAGGGCGGATAGTCAACACTGTACTACAGTAGCGAATTTTACAAAACACTTAGCCGACACTAACCAGTGCTAGCCACGAATAAACCATCGTCAGCCTGTGTTAGCCCAAATTGGTTTGCTCTGGTGCTACGAATAGAAATGAAACTAAATTATGAGGTTTAGCATGTCCGAAAACATCGCAATTTTTACCTCGTAGTGGGTAAATTTCAAATCATTTTGACAGCATACTACTCCTATCGTAAAGATAAATGTAGGCACGAGAACTTTGTTCACAACTCTGCTATTAAACCTCGAGTTAAAGCATATGATCGAAAAAAAAAAGAAAGTACAGTCATCATAAAAGGCTACGTGCCACATGAATTCGGTAAATACCACCGCTCATCACTGGTGCACATAATAAAGAAGTCAACAGGCAGCCCAATGAATGATTATCGTCACAGGCATGTGCCATCACTATGTGCCTCAGTACGTCACGTGTTTCTGTGCTCGTTGTAAATCGAAAGCCTCATATGCGTCATTAAACGCCGCCAAAAGTTGACTGACGTTCCGCTTGGGCGGCGTCAACGAGAGCCATTCGAAGAATTCGTCATGTGATGATGTCACTATGCAACATCATCATGCCGTCACAGGTGGCGATATGTGAGACCGTCATCACGTAATTGTGACGTCATCACATGACTAGCTTGAACGTCGAAGGGGGGCAAACTATGGAGGCCGTGCCACGTACAGGGGCCGAAAGCTTTCGGCAGGCGGAAGGGCAGGATCCTCACATCGAGTGAGAAGGAGACAGCTTCTGCCTTCCGGCTGTTTTAGGGTGAATGCATAAAGGATTGTCAGTTTTCAGTGTATTATGCATGGTACTTCAAGAGATCTGATTTTTTTCTTTCAATATGATTTACAAAGCTTAACCTAGTGCACATTTCGTATGGTACACCGTGTTATGAGTTGTTTACTCATCTGTGAGCTAAAATCAAGTTGACGCCCAAAGCTCCTCCCGCCCGCCTGTTTCGTGTCATTTCAAGTATGTTCCTTTCATAATTCTGAGCCGGAATTGTAAGATGCTTGCCTTACATCTCTACCTATGCCTGGCATGCAGACGAAAATTCAAAGTACGTGGCCTTCAGGACGGGCGAGCTGCACGTGCGGCGGGCGGGTCCCGAGGACAGCCATCATTCGTTTCAGTGCCAGACAAAGGACACACTCACCGGTGCCGTGGTGAGCAGCATCACGACGGGAAAACTGGTCATCACAGGTGAATCCTACTCGTTAGTTCATTTCGCGATCTCGTTCTCCGATCGCAATGACGAAACACCTTCCTTACATTGCGCGGAGTGCGTCGTTTGTAAAAAGCTGTCATTCGCTTGCTCCTCATTGCGCTTCGAGGCCGGCCGCAATCCCTAACCTGGCATTAGTCTGTTGTAGAGGTACTGACTCTGCCATATTATATATATATATATATATATATATATATATATATATATATAATATATATATATATATATATATATATATATATATATATATATATATATATATATATATATATATATATTATATATATATATATATATATATATATATATATATATATATATATATATATATATATATATATATATATATTGTAACGAGAGCAGTAAACACGGAGCTCAGGTAGAGAAAGAAGAAGACGCACTGGTATCACAAGCTTGCATTCATTCTGTTAGCCCTTGCGCTAAATAAATCTTTTGTTCGCCGAGAGAACTCCTGCTGGTTCAACACCCCGTTTCAAGTGGTGGAAGTGCTGGGATACATCTGGTCCTCACCCTGGAACTTCGCAGCCGTACATTCCAACCACCTTCTGCAATGACTGATACGGGACCGTCTCAGGCCGCCACTCCAGGTCTCGCACCCATACCTGTCTTCTGCGCTGGCGCTCTCCGGCAGCGCGACCCCCCCATATTTGGTGGCACAGAGGACCAAGATGTGGACAACTGGATTGCCGAGTATGAACTAGTGAGCGCGTACAATTAGTGGAACGCGGCCGATAAGCTAACAAATGTGAGTTTTTACCTGACCGACGTGGCGAAACTATGGTACAGAAATCATCAATTTGATTTCAGTACCTGGTCGGAATTGGCAAAAACCCTCTCGGAAGTCTTTGGACGTCCTGCTGTCCACCGCCTTTGTGCTGAACAGCGCTTGCGTGGCAGAGTACAGAGAACACATGAGACTTTCAGGAGCTACATCGAAGATGTGCTCTTCCTCTGCCAGCTCGTCAACCCGACTCTGGATGAGGCAGGCAAGATAAAAAACATCATGAAAGGAATCGACGACGGTGCATTCCAAATGCTTGCTGCGAAGAGTCCCTAGACGGTCGCCGAGGTGATTCAGCTGTGCCAAGGTTATGATGAGCTGCGTAGGCAACGTGCTTCCACACGTTGCGCTGCTCAAGACACCACGGACCTCTCATCCCTCGACTATCGCCATGACACAGCCGACCACTCTGCTTTAATGCTACTCAAAAAAGCAATTCATACGCGTGGAGGTCGCCCGGCAGCTGTCTATAATCACCAGAACTACCGAGCCGATGGCACCCTTGTCGCCTTCGCTTCGCCAGGTCATTGAATCGCAAGTTGCCGAAGCATTGCCGCCAGCTCAGTCTTCACCATCTGTTACCGCACCACTAACATATGCAGCCGTTGTTGCTCGGCCACGCGCTCCATCGTCTCCGGCTATCTACGAAGCAACTCGCCACGTTTATTCGTCGACGCCACCTGCCCGCCCGTTGACTGTCCCGTCTCCGGCTGTATACGAAACAACTTGGAACGTTTATATGACGCCGCCGCCTGCATGACCGTTTCCGGTAGCTTATTCAGCGACAAGTGCCCCTACCATCAGCCAATGGCGCACTCCGGATAATCGGCCAATATGTTTTTCATGCGGCATCCCAGGCCACATAGCTCGTCACTGCCACCGTCGCAGCTTCCCTTCTCATGACATTGCAGGGGCCTCACACTACATGCCCACTCTGTCGCGATATCCCGTTCCTGCCGATCCACCTCTAGACGTACGTACCGGTCGCCGCCCATCCGCCTCAAGCCGTTCGCCTTCTCCTCGTCGCAGATCTATTTCTCCAATGTTACGTCGCAACAGCCCACCGCGAGGGGAAAACTGACGAGCGCAGTTCCGGAGGCAAGGACTGCGTTGGCAGCGAAAATTTCAAGACCTAGCTGCTGTCCCCCGAACGAAATCAAACTTTATATTGTGAGCGCGACAAGCGAATGACTCTTCATCTGAAAATATCATCACCAGCGTGATTTAGCTCGAGCCTGGCTGAATAAACCGGTTCCTCACAATATTGATGGTATTAAGGTGCACGGACATGTTGACACTGGAGCTGCGTATCTGTAATCAGCGAGAAACTGTGCCGAAACTTGAAGAAAGTGACCACTAAACTTACCGATCTATCTTTGCAGACAGCTACGTCCCACCATGTTCAGCATTCAGCTCTGTGCACTGCACGAGTAGTCATTCAAGGTGTGATGTACGTCGTCGCATTTGTAGTTTTATTCCGTTCTTCGCATGACGTTATCCTTGGATGGGACTTTCTTTCGTCAAATTCTGCTTTGGTCGACTGTGCTCGTTCTGAACTCGCGTTATCTGTGCCGTGCTATGGCCCCGACGATGGCGCTTCGTGTAGAGTGTTTGCTCCTTCTGACGTTGACATTGCGCCTTTCTCAGCTGTTGTTGTTCCGGTGTCTGTTCCGGTGTCGTGTGCCTCTCCTTCGAAATCGCCTGTGTTGTTTATGCCATCTGTCACATCTGCGTGCCGTCGAAATTTCATGCTTCCGTTTGCCGTCATCGTTTTTCGCAACGGCCACGCTGCCATTTATGTGTGCAATCCCTCGGACAGCCCGTCATCCCTACTACGGGGAAAATGCCTGGAAAGCTACGAACCTTACGAGTGCATTCTTCCGGCTACTATACCTGATTCTACGGTCTCGCTCCCAATTTGTGCTGTCACTTCTACCAACGCGCCTAATCATGTTCTGGACGTATTCTCGGATGCCATCGACTCTGAGCTCGCCCCAACTCAGCGCCAAGAGATTATAAATCTTCTACTCCGTTTTCTCTCTTCATTCGATCGTGACCAGTCAGGCTTAGGCCGAACATCTGCGGTCGTTCACCATATTGACACCGGTCAACAAGCCCCGCTTAGACAGCGTCCATACCGTGTGTCATCTGCTGAACGCCGTGTCATCGACGAACAAGTGGACGACATGTTGAAACGTGGCATCATCGAGCCCTCCAACAGTCCCTAGGCTTCCCCGGTTGTCTTCGTCTAGAAAAAAGACGGATCCATTCGGTTTTGCGTTGACTACCGCCGACTAAACAAGATAACGCGCAATGATGTATACCCCCTGCCTCGCATCGACGATGCTTTGGACTGCCTACAAGGAGCAGAGTTCTTTTCTTCATTAGATTTACGCTCCGGCTACTGGCAGGTGCCCATGGCAGATGGTGACCGCCCGAAGACAGCCTTTGTAACACCGGATGGACTATATGAGTTCACCGTGATGCCCTTTGGCCACTGCAATGCGCCTGCCACTTTCGAAAGGATGATGGATACCATCCTGCGAGGTCTGAAATAGAAAACGCGCCTCTGTTATTTAGACGATATTGTGGTATTTTCAAGCGACTTTGCGACCCACCTCAGCCGCCTCGAGCAAGTTCTTGCGTGCCTTTTCACGGCGGGACTTCAACTTAACTTGAAGAAATGCCACTTCGGCGCTCGCAAGCTTGTAATCCTCGGCCATGTGGTTTCCAAGGACGGCATTCTTCCGGACCCTACAAAACCTAATGCAGTCGCGGCGTTCAAAACCAACCACCATCAAAGAGCTCCGAAGCTTCATCGGCCTATGTTCGTACTTCCGGCGCTACGTCCGCAATTTCGCCTCCATTATCGCCCCCTTGACCAATCTTCTCGCCGGAAGTTCTGATTTGTCAGCGTGGTCGCAGGCGTGTGATGATGCATTTCAGGAACTCCGACGGCTCCTCACTACGCCTCCCATACTTCGACATTTCGATCCATCTGCTCCAATGAACTTCATACGGACGCTAGTGGTGTCGGGCTAGGGGCCATACTGGCCCAACGCAGGGATGGCTTTGATGAGTACGTCGTTGCCTATGCCAGCCGCACCCTCAGTAAAGCCGAGAAGAATTACAGTGTCACTGAAAAGGAGTGTCTCGCCATTATTTCGGCAATCGGAAAATTTCGGCCTTATTTATATGAACGTCCGTTTGATATTGTGACAGACCACCATGCGCTTTGCTGGTTGTCTTCACTAAAAGATCCTAATGGTCGGCTCGCTCGTTGGGCATTGCGGTTACAGGAACTCGATATCCATTTTATCTACCGTTCTGGTCGGAAGCATTCCGACGCCGATGCCCTGTCACGCTCGCCGTTGGCTTCAGAGCCGGTCTGTTCGCCTATCTCCACCAGTGCTGCCTTGGCCATCAACATTTCGGACATGCCTTCTGAGCAACGCGAAGACGCTTGGATTTCTTCCCTTTTGGACTTCCTCTCAAACCGGACGCCCGCTCCAGTTCCCAGGACGCTTCGCCGTCAAGCACAACACTTTGCTATTCGGGATAACCTGCTTTACCGCCGAAACTACAGATCGATCGGCCGTAAGTGGTTGCTGGTCATTCCCCGACATCTCCGCTTTGACATCTGCGCCACGTTCCACGATGATTCGCAATGTGGCCACGCCGGTGTGTTAAAAACATACACTCGCTTGCAGCTGCGGCACTACTGGCGTGGTATGTACCGTTTCGTTCGCCGTTACGTAAGGTCTTGCCTTACGTGCCAGCGGCGCGAAATGCCCACTCAGCATGCCACAGGTCCCTTGCAGCCGTTGCCATGTCCAGCACGAGCTTTCGATCGTGTCGGAATCGACCTTTACGGTCCGCTTCCCTATACTTCGAGTAGCAACTGCTGGGTCATTGTCGCTATCGACCACCTAACGCGGTACGCTGAAACAGCTGCGTTATCTTCTGCTACCGCAAAAGACGTTGCATGTTTTATACTGCAAAACCTGGTTTTAAGGCATGGAGCACCTCGGGAGTTACTAAGCGACCGCGGCCGCGTTTTTCTCTCCGATGCCATCAAAGCGTTGTTGAGCGAGTGTCGCATCATACACCGCACTACCACAGCCTATCACCCGTAAACAAATGGGATGACAGAGCGTTTTAATCGTACACTTGGGGATATTCTGGCCAAGTACGCTTCCTCCGACCAGTCAAATTGGGATAGCATACCGCCTTTTGTGACATATGCTTACAACACTGCAACGCAAAGCACCACTGGATTTTCGCCTTTCTTTCTTCTTTATGGACGCGAGCCATCATCAACAATGGATACCATTCTTCCTTATCGACCGGACCCTTCAGAGATGACTACCGTGTCTCGAGCAGCAGCACACGCTGAAGAATGTCGGAAGCTTGCTCGTGCGTTCACGTCACATGACCAGACGCGCCAAAAACATCGCCACGACGCGTCAACCACGCCTATGAGCTTTGCTCCGAACTCACTGGTGTGGCTATGGGTTCCTTCTACTCCTCCAGGACTCTGCCACAAGCTTTCGTCCAGGTACCATGGTCCCTATCGAGTTGTACGCCAAACATCCTCTGTCAACTACCTTGTCGAGCCGCTGGACCCATCTCCGGACAAGCGCCGTCGGGGACAAGAAATCGTACACGTCTCTCGGCTGAAGCCATACCATGACCCTTCTGTCTACACCTGTCCTTAGGTCGCCAGGATGGCTCCCTCTTCGCCCGGGGGTGATTGTAAGCAGTGGACATGGAGCTCAGGTAGAGAAAGAAGAAGACGCACTGGTATCACAAGCTTGCATTCTGTTAGCCCTTGCGCTAAATATATCTTTTGTTCGCCGAGTGAACTCCTGCTGGTTGAACACCCCGTTTCAATATATATATATATATATATATATATATATATATATATATATATATATATATATATACTCGTATGAATTGGCAATGTACTGCCAATGGCATTGCTTGTACTGGGAGTAAAAGAAAGCTCTATCTTTTATTTATCAGTTTTCAACATATATCTCCCTCTCAGTTTTCGATTAAACACGATTACCATACATTATCCTTACCATAGCTCTTCTTTTCCCCGATTTTATGTGACATTTGTTTAAGTATTTCGGCATTTTAGTTCAATGCAGGCGACACTTTTCTTTATATTCTCTCTTTTCATTTATTTTGGATATTCATGTGGAATGCCCCCTGGGCAGTTGCAGAGGGGATAGTGGTTATGGTAAGCATCAGGTGGTGGTAGGCATTAGGTGGTAAAAACATCGTTTACTTTTTCATCCTCCATTCTCCCTTTTTTATCAGGGCATTCGATCAATAATTGATTGATTCATTTTAGTTTTTACTCCTTTATTCGCTTTGCATGTCTTGTTACGTTAACTAGACAGGTATAACGTGGCAGGCATACGTTTGAATGTATAAAGTGGCTGCAGCAAGCACAGGACCGGTTTGGTTGTCGGAACATGAGAGAGGTGTTTGCCCAGCAGTGCGTGTAGTCCGGCTAAATGATGATGGCGGTGACGTGTCTAGTATGACCTTTTTGTCTAGCTAACTATTCACCAGTCTGCATAAGATCCCGATCCCCATTTTTTTTCCTGCAGAGCCCCACTCCAGCATACCTGCCAAGGTGATCCACTCGAGCCGCCAGGTGGAGGGACCACACGGCTCCACTCTCTTCGTTCCGTGCGAGGCCCAAGGACACCCGCAGCCATCGTACCGCTGGTACCGCCAGCACGGGACCCACCTTCGGCCGCTGCTGCCCATCGGGGAGCCCGGCATTGTGTTCGTCGGTGGCACTCTGGTCTTTCGACGTGCCTCGGTTCAGGACAGCGCCACGTACGTGTGCGTCGTGAGCAACGGTGCCGGCGTCGAGGATAAGAACGAGATCCAGGTGCTCGTCACAGGTGAGTAGTGCCATATGTGCAGCAGGCTGCGTCATTGCATGAATACGATACCTAACGCATAGTAATGTACAACTCAAGAAGACCGCCGAAGCCGCACCTGGATGATTTAGAAGTAGCAGCCGATGGTCTTCGCGGCTAAATAAATAGTCGCTCTCATGGGAATGCCAGTGTTCTTCGCAGACAAGATCATTGGCCGTCCCGCTTGTGACGTCAGGCTGGAGTTTGCGCTGCCCGTAGGGACAGGCTTGTTTACATCCGCCTTTGAGGCGCATAAGCCATGGTCTCAATAGGACTGGCATGCATACGTATAGTGGTGACCCATACAAAGTAACGTAGATGGCATACCTACTGGCGACGGTGCTGCCATGTGGTTGACACTGAGGTGTTAGGAACTTGAAATGCTAGAATTCGAAGCGGTAAAAACAACAGACCACGAATGTGACTTGTAATTGTCTGCGCTTAAGTTGTGAAGGACAAAGCACGTAGTTAAAGGTCCCAAAGCAACATTGGGACATTGAAAAGCTTTGCAACAATAGGCTTTCAATGGATTAATTTTGGTTATAAATAAACATGAAAAATTCTATACGGTGCACGAAAATCAAAGGACTCATGGTGTGTTATTGAGTTCTACTGAAATGCGGCCATTGCAACTAAAAGAAGATCCTACTGGAGGTAGTGTTATCGCAATTTTTTAGGCCCATGAAAAAACAAAGACTTGTGACAACTCTTTCCAACAAAGCTTCAGCCACTGCTCTGTGGGTTCAATGCATTTGAGATGCAGGCTGGATTCACACCTGTGTACTGAACAAACTAAAAACAAAAGTTCCAGTAGTTTCTCTTGGTGCTCCCACACGGGAAGTATTCTCAGTTACACTGCACTGTAAACGCAATAACATAAGTTTCGCTAAGAAAAATTTCATGTACGCTAAGGTCACATACGTGGTAGGAACGAGGGTAATACAGACGGCCATAAATTGGGAGGGAACGTATTCGTATCACTTCGGCCTTATTGTCGATGCAGGTGACTTAATGAGGGCAGTAGCTGATGCAACTGTGCCCGCCGCTTCTTTGGCATACAAAAATCCAGGTCAGATGAAAACTCTACGTATTGCTTATAGTCTAGGCAACAGAGAAAAACCCATTACAAGGTGACGTATCAAGTAGTTATGTAAATGTCTCGTTCATATGCTCCTAACTAAAAGTATCAAAGAGTGCTGAGGGGCATGTTGAGTCAGTTATAGCGACTGCATTACTCAGTTATGTAAGTAAATCATTCGTGTGTAAGCTGGTATTTTACATGCACCCAAATTCATATGTATTTATGCTCAACTGTCGTATAATATGCAAATGATACTACCGTTCTTGCACCCTATATGATGGATCCTGTTTATAGAGCTGTGCTTCTGTACATGTATATTTTCAGCAGTCTATTTACCGTACCAGCACGACTATTCATCTAAAACCACATTGCGGCCTAGTGTACGTATTCAGAACTTGTCACGCCTACGCTTCTCAGCGTTCTGCATAATGAGTAACTACCCTCTACCTTTTCGTCTTCTTCATATTTTCTAGTTCATTTGTATGTAGTGCTTTGGTTTATATCAATAAAACTACAGTCTTACATTGCTGCAGCCTGTGACAGTACCACTGATTGTCCGAGAATCGCCTTCGTTACCATTGCTGTTTGAACGCTACAGAAAATGTACTGCGGCGGGCCATGAGTGACGTGTCATTAATTGAGTGCAATCGAATAAGATGCCATAGTGACCTGACATACAAGACGCACTGATTTCAAAAAGCGAAATCGCTCCTTTAAATGAAAATCAGAGTTTTGAATGAAACCAAACGCAAAACCAAATTGCCGATATGGCCATGTCTCGTACATTTGTTGGCTGCCAGCAAATGAACTGATGCCGCAGTAGGATTACTTGCTTATCATACAAGGACTCACTACTTAAGTCGATGTGCTGCACCTTTTACACATTTGAAAGTTGAGTTTTATGCTATTGCATAATACGGGCTGTTGCCTATGGTCTAACGATCCCCTTTATAAGGCAAGCCTATCATGCTGGTTAAACTAGCTAAAAAGTAAAATATAGATGCTTCCATTGATGCAGACACAAAACTTTGTTTATAAAAAAGATAGAGGTAAGAGGAGAGAAAACTTACTTTTAAAATAAAAAGGTAGCTTTGAAGCTGTGAAATATATAGTGAAGACATCAAGCATCGGTTTTCTATCACTAAAAAAAATGCCGAGTGTAGGACATTAGATAACACGCTATCCACTTGCAGTACTGAGTGATTAGGATAGAGCTAGCCAAGTGGAGAGGGTAAGAGATAAAGAAAACGGGATGCACTGCAGGAGGAGACGACTGCGAAAGTGGGCCATTTGCAAATTGCATCGAAGTCGATGGGTCTGGACAGAAAATCGATGATGTGGGTGGGTGCAGTGACTGCCGCTGAGCGGGGAGTGGAGAAGCAGTGGTTTAATTAATTTTGTCGTGCTTGTAATTAATGGGCCGGCAGCTAAAACTGACTGTGTTCTCTACGGAAGGAATCTTCTACGCAGAGAGGGAGGATCAAGTGGTGTAGATAAATAAAGCAGAACCTCTATAGCAGCTTAGAGAGACAGCTCCCGTTGGATGGTGAGAAAAATGGAAGGCAATTAAACAAATAAAATATGAGAACACTCACTGGAACTGTAGAACAATGCCGTGATATTTTTTCTAGGCGTGTGCCCGCTTGCAAGAAAAAAAAAGAAGTTGTGCGAGGTTGTAGAAAATATATTGTTTCAGACGCTTAACCTCGCGTTTCGCAATGCAACGGTGGCATTGGCTGATATCTGAAATTCATTAGACGCCTTAACAGATGGTATAGGGCAACGACAGTGAGGTAATCATTCACGTGAGCCTTTGGTTAGTCGCGAATAGTATAAAAAAGGTGGTCGGTAAATTCGGGTATAATTCTAAAAATGTTACCCCTACAGCAATCAATCGATTTTACATTAGTATAAGTAATTAAAGCAGCGGTGTAGAAAAAATCTGTTGACTGCGCGAAAAGACCCAATGTGAACAAGTATATTTTTATTTATCCTAGAAAAAAACACACGCAAAGTTGCATCAATTTTGCTCAACTGCTAATCTAATTTGCCATGAATCCAACGCAACAGAGTCTTCCCCTCTGTCTCTCTGCCTCTAACAGATGTCGGCTCTGAATTACATGCGCACGCGCAGGCAGACGTTTGCAAAGTCTACATTTATAACACACTTAATAAGAGACTTCACTTATGGAAACACACATATCCATAAACGTACGCCCACAAAGGCACGCACAGAGATACTCAATATCTCAACATTTATAGTAAAGGAGCGCCAAACACACGCATAAATAAGCGAACTAGGTCACGTGCACAAAAACGCACAGATACATATGCGTAAAGGCTGCGCAGGGTTTCTGTGTTTGACGGAACTTTCCTTGTAGGAAGGCCTTCTTGGCAAGCGTTCTCAACACGCGATGCAAACATCGACCAGTCAGTACCAATTACAACACCGGAAGAGAAATTTTTTATGATACCATCGATCTTCACGTAGGTGGGTACGTGATCACTCCCATGAGTCTTAATATCGCAAAACCATTTAACTTTGTGAGAGAAGCACCGTGACACCAATGTCAGGTCAAGGCAACTGCCATACGTGAGACCCCGCACATATGTTGGGGTACCATCGTTCATGATGGAAAGGTCGTGGTCGGAAGTGAATGTAACAATGTTCCGGCCCCTGGCATTCATCCTAGTGCTCCCCCAAAGCATGTGATGGGCGTTGAAGTCACCGGTGATGATCCAAGGCCCATCGGTCCTCATTAGGATGTCTTTTAATCTGTCGCAGTCAAATCGTGATGACGGATATATATATATATATATCCACCAATAAGCGTGAACAAAACTGCATTCTTCTTTACACGAAGACACACGTACTGATTGTCGTCATTTGAACTTATTGGGTGCGAAAGATAAGTCAAGTGCGTGCGAATGTAAAAAATTACTTTGCTTCGTTGTTCGCAAGCGGCTGAACAAAAAAGCTTCATAACCGGATAATCTATAAGGCGTTGATACGTTTGGCTCACATATGACAAGTATAGGGAATTGATTGGCCAAATAAATTGGCGAAAGTCTGAGATACGGGACTTCATGCCTCTGGCATTCCACTGAAAAATCGACGCACTTTTAACCCGTGTGGTCCCGATTCCTCTGTCATGGAATGGTGCAGCAAGACAACTTTACCTGCTGGCTCGGGATCTTACACGCACGTTCTGGTAGTCTGCCAGCTTCCAAAGGTGTCAATTATATGAACTGGATGCTTCGCTCAAGATAAAGCTACCATCACAACTTTCCCGCTCTGATGCGACACTGTTATGCCGCCTTTGGTTCAGTGTTGCATTCACAAAGGTGTACTTCTTTCGCATTGGTATGGCAGACACCTCTACACGCGACTACTGCGGAGCTGAAGAGACCGTTGAACACGTCCTGTGCAGCTGCGCTTGCTATGACACACAGCGATGCCAGCTCCGGATGGTTTTGAATCAACTTGAATCCAGACCATTTTGTGTGCAGAAGATTCTAGAACCTTGGGCATCTGCCTCAGTTGCGCAGAAAGCGGCTAAAGCACTCCTACTTTACTTAAAGTCAACAAACCTGAGCGACCGCCTGTAGACTGTGTGCTCCCCCGAGTGTGCTCGTGATTGTGTGTACCTTCTTTTCTCTCTGCAACCTCTTTTCTCCCCTTCATCCCTTCCCCATTGCAGAGTAGCAAACCGGATGTGCGTCTGGTTAACCTCCCTGCCTTTCCTTGCATATTTATCTTTCTCTCTCTCTCCTTGTAGGAAGTAGCATTCCTCGCGCTTAATTGTATTTTGCGGTGACCACCTATCTATCTTTTTTTTTCTATTTAGTAAGGGCAAAACATTGATGGGACTATATTTTCCCAAAAGGTGCTTAGCTGCAGACAGGGAAGTGTTTCGAATAACGTCGCGCGTATACACTGCATCTAAGATTGCTAACAGTAAAGCGACTGAGAAGTGTTTGGTCTTTATTAACAGAATGGACCCTAATACTCCAGCTACGTCTCGTTGGTCTGTTAAATACAAAAAAGTAAAGACAATTCCACGAAATAGGTACCGTATTGAGAATGATGAAAACTGTTGTGTTTAACAACGTGATACATAAACACTGCTCGGTGCGTAATTTTGGCTTTAAAAAGACTGGGTTGCAAACAAACGTGTGCAAGTATCCTATGAAAGATTGATGTGCAAGGGTTACGTGCATCGATGTGCACTTAACATATTGTGTGATTTTTATGTGTGCTTTCTAATAAGCTTCTTAATTGCGAGTCAGCGCCGGTGCCATTGTTTCTTCCGTCTTTTTTTTTCAAGTAGTTTTTTTTATTTATTTACAAATACTGCTGTCTCAGTTTTTGAGACATTGCAGGAGTGGAATACAAATGTTCAAACGGTAAAAGAAATTATCAGAATACATGACTACGCAACTCTTTTTCGAATTGCAGAGCATCGAGTCTGCGCAGAGACCCATCAAGCTCATTCCATAGATCCACGGTCCACGGAAAAAAAGGAAAACTTAAAGCAGTCGAGACTAGCTCTAAAGGGCGTAATGTTTAAGGGATCAAATCGTCGGGTACGGCGCGCAGAAGCTGCAACAAAAGAAATGAGCGCTAGAACACCCAAGCCTGTGTGAACAGTCTTATGCAGGAGGATGATACGATCGCAAGTGCGCCGATGTTCTAGAGACTGCAGTGATAAAACATGCGCATGCGAAGTAGGCGAGAACCGCTGGTCATAGCGACGAAAAATAAACCTTATTGCTTTCTTCTGAACAGATTCTAACATAGCTATGTCATGTTTATGGTGAGGCGACCAAACAACCGACGCATATTCAAGTATGGGCCTGACCAAGGTCTTGTACGCTGTCAATTTGCATTCTTTTGTCGAGTTGTTTAAAGTGCGTCGGAGATACCAAAGTTTTCGAAGAGCCTTGTTGCAGATTGTTTCGACGTGCGTGCGCCATTTTAAGTTTGTTGTCAGAGTTACACCTAGGTATTTAAACTGTTGCGCTGTTTCAAGATGAATACCAACCAACTTGCCCAAAAATCCTTTTTTTCCTAAACATACTTGTTCGTCTTCACCCTCCTCGTAACTTCACCGCTAACCATTCGCTTCTGCAGAGCCCTTGGAGGTGGACATGTGGACGCGAACGAGGGAGGTGCGCTCCGGAGACACCCTCACTCTCAACTGCAGCGTGTCCGGATTTCCCGTGCGCTCGGTCACGTGGTTCAAAGATGGCCGCGCCATCACGGGCCCGTCGGCCGTCAAGACGTCGGTCTCTGGCAGCCGAGGTGGCCAGGTCTCGTCGCGGCGCGTGCTCATGCTGAACCAGTACATGCTGCGCATACAGGCTGCGCAGAGCGACGACTCCGGCGTCTACCAGTGCCACGCGGAGAACGAGCGAGACTCGGCGCAGGCGCAGGCCTTCGTCCACGTCAGGTGTACGTGAGCGTGCACCCGCTCCTGTCAGCAGCGCCTGTTTAGATACTCTTTGCTTCTTGCCCATGCTTGGTTGCGTTAATCACCTGCAGTGTCTTTGCGGAATAGTCTTCATCGCGAAATTTTGGAATGGCACTGCTCGTGACGAGTCAGTTTTCACAGCGTCGGTGGCCTTACTCTCGCATTTGTGTTTATGCAGATACTTAAAGAAATACTGCAGGCCTGTAAAAGGGCAATGAAGGATGGGCATTGTGTGCTATGTACCAAATGAAATCAACTTCGAAAATGGCACCAGTTGACACTCTCCCTATAAAGCTTAAGAAACGGTGAAGCTGGTCGATCTTAGGCTGCTTAAAGTGGCCTTCGTGGCTGATGCCAGGTCTGTTCTAAGCGTAGAATAAGTACAGTCGAACCACAGCCTTTCACAGACCATGCAAGAATGCCCAAACTCCATCGCCCGAACGACCAGTCAAAGCTGGCTGTGGCATCCTCGGTAGAGGTGCGGGCCTTCCAAGCATCATTCATACTTGGCTCTCTCGGCGGGCAAACCCAGCGTGGCGGCTGCGTGGGCAGTCTCCATCGGTGGGCATGGCTGATAAGAACCGGCGGATGATAAGCTATGGAAAGGAGGGGTTTTTTTTAGACTTTTACCTTCAAGATCTTCCCTGTTAAATCTATAAAAATGTCCAAGAGCGAACAATCTAGCCCAACACGTAAAGCTAAGCCGCAGAATATTGAGTTACGCACAGTACAACATAAACTTTGGAGTAAGTGTGCCGAATAATAATAATAATAATAATAATAATAATAATAATAATAATAATAATAATAATAATAATAATAATAATAATAATAATAATAATAATAATAATAATAATAATAATATAATAATAATAATAATAATAATAATATAATAATAATATAATAATAATAATAATAATAATAATAATAATAATCAATTGCTATTAATATTATTATTATTATTATTCTTATCTTGCATTTTACGTACCCGATCAATGGTATGATTATCTGGTATTGTTTCACCTGCACTTATACCTCGCAGTACACGGGCGTCTAGCGTTTCATCTCTGGATCTAAAAAATTCTGATGAAAATTTCAGCGATCCAGTCAGTGCTATGCAGATGCGTGAGAGGTGAGCCATTGTTTTACATGTAAATGTAAGGTACGTTAGAGCTGACTTTCGCAAAACCACGAACTCGCCTTTTAATTACTCAAAAAAAGAAAGTAAAGAACCTACTCCGTGTAGTAGTCATTTGTGTTCGAGCGCATTAAAGGTAGCAAGCTGATTTTGAGAGAGCTCTTATCGCATTTTGAAGCATTCAAGGTAAATGCCTAATTAAATAAAGTACCATATAAAGTAAGCTATAAGGTGCATTCAACAAGTACAATGCATTAGTGTTTAGTGTACGTTATACCCAGCACACGCAGTAACTTATTCAACGAACTTCCATGCTTGAATGGCCTGAATTTATGAACGGGCCAATGACAATATATTTTTGTGACTTACGCTACACAGGAACCACGTGTTATACCCGCTGAGAAATCGGGACATACTTCTGTAAAAGCTCGTCTTCGGCGCTTTATGTCCAGGGTTGCCCGAGTCAGCAGGATGGACTGGCAGCACCTTGTGCTTGTTTTTGTGAACGGCGGATGCACTGTACTGTAAGGGAAATCACTCTCAAATATTGCTACTTGTGTTTCGTGCAGCTGAACCACCGGTCCTGGTATCCCACTTCCAGGACGTCGTGGTACGCCCAGAGGAACCAGTGTCACTACGATGTGCCGCCACTGGGACGCCGCTGCCTCAAATCACGTGGTCTCTTTACGACGTCCAAGTTCAGGACTCCAGCCGGGTGAGAATCCTTTGCCCCCAGTTTTTAAAACAAATCTTATTCCTTATTCATGCGTTCTCGGGAACACTAAATAAGTCTTACACCTCTCTGGCACTAGCATTTGCCTCAGAGAAGACGTACCAGGTTTTGATGATCTATTATTCTTGTGTCTTCCTATACACATAAGTAGATAGTTCGACGCACAACTGCAAAAGAAGACTGCCTGCTTTACATGATCACGTACACAAGTCATTTATTCAAAGAAGCATGGAAGAAGAGCACGACTACAGTATGCGTTTTACCAGCAGTAATAGTGTGTTATGGTACATCGCCTTAATGCTAATTCAACTGGCGACAGCATGCGTTTTTAGCTGCTTTCTGCCTACATTATTTTCATAGATGCTTTCGCAAACTTAAGAAAATGTTAATTTTAAGGCTTCACACCATTGCAAGTGGTGCACGCGCTAAAGTAGCTCCCATAAGACTTCACTGTAGGTATCATTAGATGTGAGAACACCAGGGTATGTAAGGTATAGCGCAGCTCGTCTTATGCAAACTATGCATCTACTACAATGAATGTATACTGAACGACGCATCCAGAATTTACAAGGATGTCGTTTTACACACAAACATTTCGCACCACGTTACACACTGTAACACTTCAAGTCTGCTGCCATCTTGCTAATGCAATAATTTGTACAATCGGGGTCGAAGCTTGCTGCAAGGCATAATGAGGCACACTGTCAGAGAAGGATTAAATTGCTTTGACGTTCTGAATAGATTGCACTACTGCCTGCTTCCCTCCCACATTGCAGTTTTCTGCTTCTAGCGGGCTGTTGCACTACCTCGAGAATCGGCCCAACTTTAAGTCAGAGTTATTCAATTATATGAGATTCAAAACTCTCCTTAGGCTCGTTCAATCAAAATCGGGGCAAGTAATTGACCCCAATATTGGAAGTGAACAGATTGTCACGCCACCTGTTGATTAGCGCACCCGCTATTAAACGCATTATTTGTGTTTGGTGTTGCTGCTCTCAGGTGGCACGAAAGTCAGCCCACTCCCGAAAAATTGGGCCAACTGTGTGTCCGGGTTTCGGAACGCAGTTTCGCAACTGTTATGATTGAATAACTCTGACTTTAACAAAATAATGATGCCATGTGATCAAGCAATATTTTGACGTCATGCGAAGGATTTTATCATAGAACAGCGGGTGATTACGTCACATATTTCGGTGGTCTTCGAGGTCTTTGCTCCTCCATACTCTACTGACTCGGGAAAAGCTCCGACGAACCGAGCATTGTGAGAGTTGGTATTGGTTTGTGAATGAAAGTTTGCGCAAAAAAGAAGAATACGAAAAAAAGAAGGCATAGACAGGTGCAGGTCAGTACGTCTTTTTTTGCGCAAACTTACATTCGAGATTTTCTCGAGTTACGAGATTTTCTCGTGGGTTTTTCGGACGGGTCTCGCAGGGCCTCGTGAAGGCTCCCAAAGTATCGTAAAATCTTGCAAAGTCTCGTGCGCAAGTGTCGCACAGGGGAAAGCTACCATAGACACTTGAGGCCTTTGTCTTAATATGATGTTTTCTACGTGCAAAATATTAGTATTGCTCCGCAAAAAAGACCTAATATCTTGCGTTTAAACGCGTTGTAAGGATATATTGTTTTCAGGCGTTCTGTACTCCGTATTACGCAACAGTAGTCACCTTAAAGCTATTCCCTCGCTACGCCAAATCGTCCGCAAAGTTTCCGTGTTTAGAGAAAACAAAAGAAGTGCTAAAAACTTGATTTATTAAGCCTAAGAATAGCAACCCCACTTCTGTTTTGGGGTAGCGCTGCGGTCGACTCTTTTAAAGGTCGATTGCTTCGTTGAACAACATTTCAGAAGACGGCGCTTTGCTACATCTGCGTCCTGCGCAAGTGTGAAAAATTCTCACAGCTCTTTCCGTATGCTTCTTGCGTTGGTATTACGGGATTCATAATAAATTTAACAAGTGAGACATTTACTGAATGGGAAGCATGAAGACATGGCGTACGCGGTATTAAGAAGACGATATTGTTGTGAAAGAGCCCAATTGACGGCTCTCAACGACAGGTTCGCGTGGGAGACTACGTGAGCCGCGACGGCTCCGTCATCAGCTTCGTCAACGTGACGCGGGTGCGGCACGAAGACGGCGGTGCCTACCGTTGCGAGGCCTCCAACGTGCACGGCTCGCACGCGCACTCCGGTCGCCTGAACGTGCTCGGGCCACCGGCGGTGCGCGACATGCCCAACCGGACGGTCGTGGCGGGGCGCAGGGCCGTGCTGCACTGCCCGTACTACGGACATCCCGTTAGCCGGGTGGCTTGGCACAAAGGTAAAAACGCTTGCAAAAGTAAGAATTAAGGAAACGAAAAAGCTCCGCCGGAGATTGATATGAGTTGTGCTTGAAATGTTATCAGGACATCTTCCAGGGCCTCTTCAGGCCGCATTATGCGAAACCAATGTTTGTGACTACTGAGAAGGAGGAGGAGGAGGAGGAGGAATAATAGTTTTTTTTCTAGAACTGTCGATGACTGGAATTGTTTGCCGTGTGACATCTTTCATTCTAATAAGTTTCTTGGTGACCTTGAGCGTCACCTTCTTTCTTAACCTTTTGTTTCTTTTGTATTGTTGTCTGTGGTTTTCTTCAATTACGTTTTGATGTATCCACTCCTGCTTGGGCCAGCACATTGGCCTGCAGTATTGTGAAATAAAATAAATAAATAAATAAATAAATAAACTTTATTATTAGAAACCAGCCGCTATAGGTCACATTCGTTTTAGCTGTAGTTTAGCTTTACCTTATCAATGCCTTATCTAATACTGCTTTATGATAAATGCGCAATAATTTTTAAATTTCATGTTAGTATTGAGCTACACCGCATTTGCGCCTTTTTAGTGATTCTATAAGCCTTCTCATTTGTAGTAACAGAGTTTTCTTCGCAGTGTTTTCGTAGTATACCCCCTGACCTTTGGAAGAACGTTTAGCTTAGGCTTAGGATACGTACACTGACGAGTAGCGTAACGGAGTTTATTTGCTCCCGCATTCGACACTGGTTTAACAGATGCCAGAAGCCTACCCAGCAGCAAGCGCGTCATGGCTCACGAGAATGGCTCCCTTGTCCTGGAGGCGGTGAGCCGCAATGACGACCAGGGACGCTATTCCTGCTCAGTGCGCAACGAGCAAGGTAGCGAAGCACACAACCACTTTTACCTCCGGGTGCTCGGTGAGCAAAGCCACCTACTATTTTCTTTGTCTGTTGCCTTCTCTCTTTTTTGTTATACTAATTCAGTGATCAAAGCTCATAGCAGTTAATGAGAAATAGTCGTTGAACGTAGTAGAGGCAGTTTATGATCAACGTGGCACTGTTAAAGACACGTAGTGCTATTTTGGGCGATATAACACTAATATAATAAATATTTTCAAATTGCGCAAATGAGAAATTTTACACCTATCACAAAAACCGTTAGAGCTCCCTGGACCTATCATAGATGACAAATGTCGTAATGTGTCAATGGGAAGCTTAGTACTTTTATGGGCTAGGTGTAGGTGAAACAGGAGCTGACAGTTTTTGAATAGGATTTCGGACCCCACTTTACATCTTGCACTTTCAGCATCACGATGCTAAACCACGATGAATAATAGTTAAAAGCGTCCACAGGTATCTACTTTTGAAACACTGATTCTTTGAAATTACAATTTTCAACATGTACTGGTGAATGATTCGATGGGGATCTCCCTCAATTTTTGGAATCCACACTCTGGCGTCATCAGCCAAGGCAGTCCAACTTCTAGTCACCCTAGCTGCGTGAAGCGTACAACCTGTCAAATCGAGAACTCATCTTAAGAATATGGACTATTTGTCGGCTAATCTTTGTTGTATGCGTGAGAAATGAGAAAGCAATAATTGGGTACAAGCATTGCTTAGTTCACAACATCAACTGCTTCTTGGAAATCTGGCTAGTCTGGTCTTGGCTGAGAGCCGTCGCTTCAGTGCGTGCCACCATGTTTCTTCGACGCAGAGCTTTTAGAACAAGCTCTGGAGCTCCCGCTAAATTCGAAAAATAGCATCCCCAATGCAAACCCCCGATACGCTGTTTGAGTCTTGTGCATGCGCAGTGACCTCCACGTCATTTCTTTGGTGTTCGAGAACTATGGAATCCATAATTGAGAACGCCTTGTTGTCTTGCACTACCTGTCTTTGCCGTCATAAGCCCATTGAAGAGAGAGAGCACGCTTTACAGGCTGGAAAGGTTCGTTTTGTAAGTTCAGGTATGAAATATGAAAGCTTTTGTGTAGAGATTCTTACCGAGTAAAGTATGAAAAGAGAGAGGCACGAACATTCAGTTCACATTTTGCTATTTAAAAATATGTTTTGCCCCAATAAACTTGTATATGTGGCATAGCAAACTCTGCAAGGCGCAAAGTCCTCCTGAGATAATGTGGGTATCCCAGAATATGCGGAAAATTTATATTAACATCGTCCTTCTGACGACTATATCGTTTTGCCTTGGTAAACACGAAAATATGACAGAGCACTTATTACAGATCAATGATGTTTTTATATGACTGCTGACATTTTTAGTCAACATAATGCAAGTGATGTTTTCTCACAGTAAACAAGTTGCTGAGACAGAGCACGCTTTACAAGCCGTGCAACTTTTGTGAGCATTGCTGAAAATACTTGTCGTTAACAACATTTTTAAGAATGATCGGTTGTTGCAATAAAAACGCACACAAGGGAGAGCCCACTTTAAAGCCCGCAAGACAATATTGTATGAGTTAAGCGATCACCCCTCCCACTCCTCACTAAGAGATCACCACCATATCCACAAAGTGAATGAGGTTACAGGAGCTTGCTTATAGATGACGGGTACTTTAATGGGGTGTGCGGCGTGACCACCTTACTGCGCATGCGCATCTCCCTCTCTCTCTCCACTTCTAAACTCCCCCTTTTTCAACCGAGTGGGTGGCAGAGGCTACAAAATGCTTCCTCAGCAGCACACAGCTCCACTGCGCATGTGTATACCCCTCCCCTTCTCTCCTCACCTATTCTTCTCCCTCCTACACTCTCAGTGGAAACACGTTACACGTTTCCGTGAGACAGAGCACGTCTGCCTTGGTTAGCACGGGATCACGTTCGATGACTCTGGCGCGTGCGTAGAGCCACTGGCTTTTCGGCAGTGCTATAGTCGTGGTCACCGGCAACGCTGGTCACCAGCAGCGGTCAGGTCACCGGCATCGAGCGATGTCCAGCAGCAGTGTTAGTGATTTGGAGGTCCTGAAAGGTGGTGCACCTGCTTAAAGTGACGTAGACGAGTTTCTATGGGTACCGTTCATTACCTTCTCGCTGCTTCCACACAAGGTTCCCTTTAGCAGTATATTGTGTAATATTTTAACAATAACTTTTGGAGCAATTGCTATCAGCGCGCATGCATGTTACCCATTGTGCCATAAATCATCAAAGTTTTTGTGTTGTGAAAGCAGCGATAACGCCATTATTCATCATTTTTCGGAAAGAGTGGTAGCTGCTGAACACTTGTAGGGCATCATATGCATTTTGTTGAGGCTGTGGTTTACGAGAATGAGTGATCTGGGGCTTTTGCAATGGGTTGGAGCATTCAAAGACCTGTTCTTCGAAATTCACAGTGTGACACCTGGTTCTTACTCTGCTTTTATAATGTGCTTTATTACGCATGTTGATGTGATTGCTTGCCCGACATGAAGGCCACACAGAGTCAGTTTTCGATGAAGTTTCAAGCACAGGCGGTGCTCTGTGGTAGAGTACTGGGCTATCACGTAGAGGACACGCTTTTTGTTCTCATTCTGTCATCGCTATTTCTTGCGTATTTAGGTTTTTCTTATTGCATGCGATAGTAGTTACGGACACCGGCGGTGGTGGAAAACTGCGGCGTACGCGACCCTTGATGTCAACTTGTAACAGCTTTCCCCGTAAAAATGCGACCTTTGGATACCTTTTTTTGCTCGTCGTTCGACGACAGGCGCTCGAAAGTGAGTGGCAGTCGTGGTAGTAGACAATACAAAGTATTCATATGCAGATGTATTCACATTTGGCAAACGTTCTTGTGTAGCCCAGTGGTTGAGAAACTTGCCTTCGGAGAGGGGGGAGGGTTAAACTCTAGCACTGATAGCAGTTTTCTGCACTCTGTTGCATTCGTTTCTTCCGCTAATTTATTAGGGTGCCTTGACATCGACATCAATGCTTCATAATGCTTCAATACATACTGTTTCTCCATAGCTCTCAACGGGGCCCTAGTGATTTTTGCCCACAAACGGCTACATCCCCTAGGTATGCGCTACTCTGCCGTAAGGAATAAGGGAGAATTTGACGTTGTCATTGTGTCACAATCGATTCCTTGCTTCAGACAACACACGGGGCGAACACCACTATTTCGCACAATTTACAATCAGAACGCTTTTTCTTTGCGAACGCTGATTCAGTTTTAAACTTTTCCAGCCTGTATAGATTTTTTACTACGATCTAACATCCAGTTTGTGTGCATGATTGAGTTGCGCCAGAAAGAAAAAAAGCCCAACCTTTTCACGACGTTTTTCTGCTATAAAAATAGCTGTGCCTAATAGTTTCGTCTGTACTTCCCGTGGTCGTACGCAGTGCCGCCGTCCATTACGCCCTTCTCGTTTCCCGAGAAGCCTCAGCTTGGCTCTCGAGCCAGTGTCACGTGCAGCGTGCCCGTGGGAGACCCACCCATACGGCTGTCGTGGCTGCGAGACGGAATGCCGCTGGAATCGGACTCTTCTTCTACCTCTGCCGTGGGCATTGCTGCGGGTCATGTGGACGACTTCATCTCAACGCTGGTGTTCAGGTCTCTACGCGAAGAGCACACGGCTGTATACACATGCCTTGCGGCCAACGAGGCCGCCTCGATCAACTACTCAGCTCCACTCGTCGTTTACGGTCAGTGCTTACCAGTCTTGTGTGAGTACATGTTTAAGTATGAGAAAAAAACCTATAAAAAAGTTCTTACATTTTCGTACAATTATAACAGTGCATGAATATCTGCTGAAATCCTTCCTAATTAGCAACGCTTTACAAACTGAGCGTATAAAAGGTAAAATAACACTCAGTGGCACAAAACGCTGCATCGACGCAGAATTTGTTGGATTTGTTGCAGCTCCACCAAGATGGCGGCTAGAGCCCACAGATGCCACGGTGACGACCGGTGAGCGCATTATACTGGACTGCCAGGCTGATGGAACGCCAGAGCCACGAGTGCGCTGGAAAAAGTCTGCAGGTATTGTGCTTTTTCTACAGAACAAGTTCTAACCTGAACTTTCTTTTATATTGTGACGGGGCGAGGTCTTGGCTTACAGGACAGCGTCCACCGAGAATCAGCAGCCGAACAAGATGTCTGAGTTGCCTCTCGCGCAAGTGCCTAACGCACAGGCGTCTTCTTCATCTTCGCAAAGTGCCACGCTTGCTCCTGTCGATGATGCACCGTAACATCACTCCCCTGCGGTGGAAGCGCCGTCACGGCGCTTAGTACGGCGGCGACGCACGAAGAGGGTGATACGGTTTCAGTCTGGAAACGTGTACAAAGTCTGTCTGGAGTGAGGTGGTCGAAAAGGCATTGTTTAGGGGTACGATCTCGTAGCTCACGTCACTAAGTTGTCGTAACACTTTGTAGGGGCCATGGTAGTGTGATAGTAGCTTCTCTGATAAGCCGACTTGGCGGTTTGGTGTCCAGAGAAGTACCAGAGACCCCGGCGAAAAGTGCACGCTTTGGTGGCGACTGTCATAGCGATCTTTTTCTGCGCTTGCGACAAGTGCAGCCGATCATGGGCAAGCTGACGGGCTGCACGGGCTCGAGAAACGACATCGCTGGCGTACTCAGTAGACAAGGGGGCAGCCGAAGGAAGGAGCGTGTCAAATGGTAATGCTGGATGTCGGCCAAATAGCAAATAAAAGGGCGAATAACTAGCTGTGTCGTGCCGTGAAGAACTGTACGCGAACGTGACAAAGGGGAGTGCTTTGTCCCAGTCACGGTGATCTGGCGAAACGTACATTGACAGCATCTGCGTCAGCGTTCGGTTCAGACGCTCGGTCAATCCATTTGTCTGTGGATAATAAGCGGTGGTAAGCTTGTGCTCAGTGGAGCAGGCGCGGAGAATGTCATCCACAACACGTGAAAGAAAGTACCTTCCTCAATCAGTAAGCAGCTGCCGCGGAGCGCCGTGATGAAGAATGACTTCATACAAGAGATAGTCAGCGACGTTAGTGAAACAGCTTGTCGGCAGTGCTTTAGTGATGGCAAAGCGTGTGGTGTAGTCTGTGGCGACTGCAACCCATTTATTTCCGGAGGTGGACGTAGGAAACGGGCCCAACAAGTCAAGGCCAACACGGAAGAATGGTTCCGTCGGTATGTCAATGGGCTGTAGGAGGCCAGACGGTAGCACAGAGGGGCGCTTGCGGCGTTGGCAGCGGTCGCAAGCAGTGACGTAGCGAACCACAGAACGATACAGTCCGGGCCAGAAAAAGCAACGTCGCACACGATCGTAGGTACGAGAGACGCCTAGGTGACCGGCTGTAGGTACGTCATGTAGTTGTTCGAGAACGCTGGTACGCAGGTGATGGGGAAGCATGAGTAGTAATTGCGGGCCATCAGCGTTGAAGCTGCGACGGTACAGAATGTTGTCGTGCAGTTCAAACAGGCGAACGGAAGGGTCTGTTGGAGCAGAGGTCAGACGCTCGATGATGGAGAGTAACGACGGGTCACGTCGTTGTTCGGTGGAGATATCACCCAAAGCGTGGATGGAGAGAACGCAGGGGTCTGAATCAAGGTCTGTCAAGTCGGGCGTTTCAACCGGATAACGTGACAAACAGTCTGCGTCTGTGTGGAGGCGTCCCGACTTGTAGTGGACCACGAATGAGTATTCTTGCAGACGGAGCGCCCAGCGACCAAGACGTCCAGATGGGTCCTTTAGCGATGACAGCCAGTAAAAAGCGTGATGGTCCGTAACAACGGAAAAAGTTCGGCCATACAGGTAAGGCCTGAATTTCGCCACGGCCCACACTAAAGCTAGGCATTCACGCTCAGTGATGGAGAACTTCCGTTCGGCAGGTGAAAGAAGACGACTGGCGTAAGCAATCACGCGGTCCTTCGCATGCTGTCGTTGGCCAAGGACCGCTCCGATTTCATGGCCACTGTTATCGGTCCGAAGCTCTGTAGGTGATGCTGGGTCGAAATGGGCCAGTATTGGTGGCGTAGCCAGCAGATGGATAAGAGCCGAAAAGGCGTCCGCTTGCTCAATACCCCATGCGAAGGGAACGTCCTTTTTTAAGAGATCAGTAAGCGGTCGAGCGATGTCGGCGAAGTTGCGGACAAATCGACGAAAATAGGAACACAGCCCTACAAAACTTCGGACGTCCTTGGTTGAGCGTGGTTCAGTAAATTGTTGTACTGCTCGTACCTTTTCGGGATCTGGTTGAACACCATCGGCACTGACAAGGTGGCCGAGTATGATGATTTGGAGACGTCCGAAATGACATTTTGCAGAATTGAGCTGGAGAGCAGCTCTTCGAAAAACATCCAGAACAGCTGACAGACGTGTTATATGGCTGTCAAAGGTAGGTGAAAAGACGATGACATCGTCTGAGTAACATAAGCAGATGGACCACTTATATCCTCGAAGAAGGGAGTCCATCATGCGCTCGAAAGTTGCCGGCGCATTACACAGTCCAAACGGCATGACTTTAAACTGGTAGAGGCCGTCGGGCGTAACGAAAGCGGTTTTTCACGATCCATGGGGTCGACGGAAATTTGCTAATAGCCGGACCGAAGGTCGATAGACGAAAAGTATTGGGCACCATGGAGGCAATCGAGGGCGTCATCAATCCGAGACAAAGGGTAGACATCTTTGTGGGTCACTTTGTTTAAATGGCGATAGTCCACGCAAAAGCGCCAGCTGCCATCTTTCTTCTCAACGAGCACGACTGGGGAGGCCCAGGGGCTGGATGAGGGTTCTATTACGTCTTTAGTAATCATTTTATCCACTTCATTTTGAATTACTTGGCGTTCCTTGTAAGATACGCGATATGGACGCCGCCGTATAGAACTGGCATCACCAGTGTTGATCCGGTGAGTCACTGCAGTTGTTTGGCTGAGAGGGCGGTGGTCAAAGTCGAAAACGTCTCTATATGATGTTAGCAGACTACGGAGGCTGGCAGCTTGCACTGCAGTGAGGTCGGGAGCAATCATCTTGTTAATGTCATCTGCAGGCAGAGTGTAATTGCCGCCAAGACAGGGGGATGTAGTATCGGTGTCCAAACCAGTAACGTTGCAGCTGTCAAATGGAGATAGGGTGGCTAAAGACATGTCTTGCGGAATAACTTGGGTCAGGAGACTCACGTTGAGTAGTGGTATAACCACTGTATTAGCAGCGACGGCGACAACAGTGTGAGCAAGGGCGACGTCTCGGGCCATCAGTACGTCGACTATAGGAGTGACGAGGTAGTCACCGTCGGGCACATGACGTGAGCACGACAAAGTGACATATGTAGCAGCTTGCGGAGGCAAGCGAACGTGGTGACGAGAGCATAAACGGGGAGAATAGTCTGCTGGAAAATCGGCAAACTGCGGCTGTTCAAGCTGAAGAGCACCAGTGGCACAATCAATGAGCGCAGAATGCCGTGACAGGAAGTCCAAACCAAGTATCTGGTCATGAGGACACATTTCAATTACGGCAAACTGAACTAATGTAGGATGACCGGCAATGGACATACGGGCCATGCACATTCCTTGAACATCAGGGGTCCTCCCACCAGCGACACGAAGTTTGTGGGAAGCGGCAGCCGTGAGCACTTTATGTAGGTGTCGGCGAAGGTTCGCGCTCATTACAGAAATGTGCGCTCCAGTATCTATAAGGGCAGAAATAGGCACACCGTCAACGGCAACGTCTAACAAATTTTGTCTCGTCGGAAGTGTCAAGAGAGGATTTGTGGAGGGAGTCGAAAATGCAGCGTCACCTCCGGGCGCTGCACCGCTTAGTTTTCTGGGTAGGCAGGAGCGGGGTTGAATGGGGACGACGGCCTGCGAGTCTGCGGTGAGCGAGACAACTGACGACGTCCTGGAGGCGAACGCGACTGATGACCATGCGGTGACGGAGATCGGCTGTTGAACCTTCTGTAGTTGTTTTGCGGAGAAGGCTACGCGGCAGACGCGAAGCGGGTGCTGTCCTGTCGGTAGTGAGGTTGAGATGAAGTCCGAGGTGGCGAGGACCAGCGGTAATTGCAGTAACGGACGACATGACCGATACGGTGGCAATGAAAACAAATTGGTCGATTGTCGACGGTTCTCCAAGCAGCAGGGTCGCGAGATCGGGCTGTAAACTGCTGCTCGTGATAGGACGAGGGTGGACGCCATGAAGCTCGCTGCGGGCTGGGCAAAGCGCACACCGAGGGAATACCTATGCTGGCGAGTTCTTGGCGGACGATGGCTTCAACCATGTTAGCAGTGAGTGGGTGGTGTCACTTGCAGCGGTGTGAGCCGGAGCAGAGGCAATGGCTTCAAGTTCGCGCCGTAGTATTCGGGTCACCTGATCCGATGAATCTAGAGGTGGTGGCTGTGTTCTTGCACGGTCTTCGCAAGATGATGTTGCAGCCGTATTCGGAAGGCGGGTAAACACGCTGTTAATCCGCCGGCTCTTCGCTTGCTCAAAGCGCCGACATTCTTTTATAATGGCGTCCACTGTAGAAAAAGTTTTGCAGATGAGGAGGTTGAATGCGTCATCCGCAATCCCCTTAAGAATATGCCCGACCTTGTCAGCCTCCGGCATCTCGGCATTGGCTTTGCGACACAACGATAACACATCTTCTATATAGGAGACGTACGACTCGGTCGAGGTCTGCGCCCGAGACGCGAGCATTTTGTTCGCGGCCATTTTTCTTCCAATCGGCTTTCCAAAAAGGTCCAGCATTTTCTCCCTGCACGCTGCCCAACTCCCAAGTTCTGTTTCATGGTTCTCATACCACGATTTGGCGGTTACCCTAAGATAGAATAACAAGTTTGCCAGCATAAGAGTCGGGCCCCATCGGTATCGAGTACTCACACGTTCGTACTCTGCCAGCCAATCTTCAACGTCAACTTCATCTGGATGGCCGGAACCGCTGAACGTGCCAGGATCCCGCGGGGGTTCGAGCACGAAGGTTGTGGTCGCAGAAGGAGATGTAGTTACCGCATCATCTCCGGCCGCAGGAACACCAGGAGCAGATGCAGACGCCGTACTCTCCGTCATCGTTGTGGAATGACCCTTCAAACGTCGGCCGCTGCGAAGTTCTGTTGCGAGGCGGTTACCCAGCACTTCCACCAAATGTGACGGGGCGAGGTCTTGGCTTACAAGACAGCGTCCACCGAGCATCGGCAGCCGAACAAGATGTCTGAGTTGTTGTTGTTGTTGTTGTTTCCCTGTAGAAATGGCTCGTACCCAAAGAAGGGGATTGGCCGATTTTAAGGTGAATTTGCCCTAAACTTTCAGCATTGTGTCATTCCTACAATTTTTTTTGTAACTTAATTTTGATTTTGAAATACCGATATCATGTTTGCAGAAAAAAAAATAAGAAAGATTTTGAGACAGCAATTTAGCAAGAAAATGTCTGAGTTGCCTCTCACGCAAGCGCCTAACGCACAAGCGTCTTCTTCATCTTCGCTAAGTGCCACGCTTGCTCCTGTTGATGATGCACCGTAACAATATTGAATGTAATTGAATTTCAATGATCAATTTGTGTATGTTGCATGAACATGTGACGAATAATTGTGAAAGGCCTCAGTGCAGCGTTGGGTTGAACCCACTGCTAAACAGCGGGGCCGCACGTTTCAGCTTTTGCTGGTTAATCATGTGTATGAAGTGCTTGGGCAGTGATTTTTTTATTACAAAATAATTACGGCTCTCATAAATAACACATTTATAACAATGATATCCAGGTTCAACAAATTTTCTATCATTATGACCAATTAGAAACAGTTGTGGTGTTTTATTATTATTATTTTTATGGCTATTATATATTTTTGTCACGTTCAGTTGCTATCTCACGGCTGAACTGCTCTACAGTGCTGCCCTTTATAACTTAAAGGGGATGAACAAAATTTGCTAGCAAGATAGAGCAGCGTTTAGCTAGACAGTCGTTTGTAGCTGGTCTAACATATTACTCGTAAAATGCTGTGGAATTTGATAGTGTTTGATGCTAGGAATCAATGTTATCAATGACAAATAGCACATTTATCACACGCTTATCGCTACACCACCACCTATAACTTCAGCGCTAAGCCCCTTGTATTTCCCTGGTAACATTGTTATATACTACTTCTTGATAACAAGCATGAACATTCATGTCATTGCAAATACATTTTGTAATCAATCAATTACTTTGAGACTACCTTGATCTGTAACACAGGCATTAAACTCAAAACTTGTCCATCTTTTCGCAGGTCCTCAGGGTACTGAATTCCGCACAGTCATCAGTAGCTCTCGCATGCAAGCACTCGTCAATGGCTCGCTGGTCATACAAGAAGTTGAAACGCTGGACGCCGGTGGATACATGTGCGAGGCCTCCAATGGAGTTGGTCTGCCCCTGTACACCGTTGTCCATGTCAACGTTCACTGTGAGTGAGCCACTTCGGTACTCGGTCACAGCTTTAGAGATGACCATGCCATTTTTGTTGGTGAATATACTATCAAAACGCCGAGGGCGAGGAATGTAAAAGAAATCCGCCAATTCCATGTGTATAAAAATAGCTGAAGCGTGGGAAGCTTCATCTGTTTCATGAAGTGACAACGGTCGTAAGGCACTAAGGAGTAGAAGAAAAGACAGGGAGGTCAACGAGACACACGTCTGGATCACTACCCTAAACGAAGTGAAAGCAATGAATGATAGAATAGGAAACAAGGTGCCATTAGGCCATATGTCGATTGCATGTGCGCCTGTTCATGGTACATATGAAAGTGGGCACTTAGACCGGTTGTAAGAGACTAACTTATTGAATGCCAAAGCAGGTGCGCTTGCGGAAGAAGTTTTACCTATATATGTGATTTTTTCATTATTTCTGTGGCATTTTAGTCTTCAATATAGAAAGCTCTTCGGCAATTAACCTAATGGCCCAAGGTTTAATGTTTACGTGGGTGACTCTTGGTGAATGCGTGAGGTAAGAATTTGGAAACACGTGGCTTGAAAAAAAAAAAAAAACTACGGTAGAAAAAGAAATAATCAGAGCAGCTTATCTGGGTGTTAAATGAGTTTTACATTGACTTGACAAAGTGACGAAAATGATTAAATCCGGTTCCACCACCTATAGCATACGTTGCCTAAATGTCTCTAACATCTGGTCATGCTTAATCTCCTTAACATGTATATGCAATCTTTGTTTCGTAAATTGTGTTTTATCCAAACAATAACAATTTATTCAGTAACTGAGGCAGACATGTTGTTGCATGACTAACGCACAGACTCGCGTTATGCACAAAACATTTTTCGTCACATTCACAAAATTCAGCCCTTACATTAAAACGTACCATTCGGTCAGTTTCCGAAAGTAAATACGAAATTGATCATAATCCTTCTTTTGGCCACGCGATCTACCTACGTATTAGCAAACGATTTCGTTTACATCATACGCATTTTGGGATGCCGAGCGCTTTTATACATTTTCGCTATCGTTTCCACTGCTCCATTGCGTTCAGTCAATTTGTGCTTTGGATTGAAGTTCGTTCCTTCTCAATCGTGTCATGGTAGGTTCACTTTACTTCAATATTCTGAACTATTTCTTACGACCCCGACAAGCGCTCGCAGAGATGCTAGAACATTGTTCTGCATTAAACGTTTTATCGATTCTAACGCTAATCGAACAGAGTAAAGGTGCTCGCGCCATCTCTCGCCATCTAATCGAATTAGTCTAATAGTGGCACCATCGCCATCTATCAGCGGTGCGTGCAATACGCTGCCCGCGAAGATTCAAAGAGACTTGCACGCCGTAGCCACGCACCGAACTCTATCTTTTTCTTAATGTATTATTCTCCTTTATTACAAAGTTGGGGGGAGTGATGGCTATAATTATGTGTCTTTGGCATGAGTGTGGGGAATGAGTGGTCGCATTTGCCATCACTTAGTGAAAACGCGTTAGCCAATGGTTATATGAAATGTAAAGGGTGAATGTCATAGTTTCAAATTTTTATTCCTGTCAAAATACGTGCTCTTCCGTACTAAGAAATCTCAGTTATACGTTCTTTTTTGAAAGTGTATTAAGAATGTCATATGAAATCATAATCAACTTGATGTTTTTTTTCAATTTTTCCTTGAAAACCTGATGTACAGAACGGGTTTAAAGAAACGTAGTGTGTACGTTGAACTACTATTGTCAACGGCTACAAACATAGTATCTCTTCGATAGTCTCATAATATTAGCAAGAATAGACGTATAAGATAAAGGAATCACAGCATATCCACAGAGTGAATGATGATGAGTGGGGCGAAGCGTCTGTCCGTCCGTCCATCCGTGCATTCGTTCGTCTGTCTGTCTGTCTGTCTGTCTGTGGATATGTGAATATGCTATGCTGGCTACGCCAGAGGGACGCCGGACAGCCCTAGACCATAAGGAGCTTCCCCCTTAAAGAAATATGAGAGGCGAAGAGGCTCTTTGAATTATGTTTGCAACGCCGTACGTACGTGCGTCCGTACGAACGCATCGCCACGCATTCGCCTCGCCGCAGGTGTTGGACTGGTGCCAAGTAGGTCACGCCGCAGCTGCATGTTGACGCCACGCTCTCCTCGCAAGCTTCCTTCGCAGGTGCGCGCTGACGGCGCACTCTCCCTAATGCACAGCACACTCGCCGCAGCGCCCACAGCTGTCGGCTCCTCCGGGCACTCGCAACACACTTTTTCTCGCTTCACCCTCCCCGCCACCCTCAAATCTCAACCATACGTCAAGTGTAAACACTCTTTGGGTTCGTTTATCTGCGATGAAACTTACATGAAAGTGAACCCGCCTCCCGAGGCTTTGCGTTTCAAACAAGTGTTTGCTACAGTAAACGCTACGGCCAGTTTCGCGTCGAACCGTTTTTCCAGCACCCACGTCGACGCCCGTTTCAAGCGGGTCAACGCCGTGCGCACCGCTGCTGCTTCGCATCCCATCAGGGTTCCCCTCAAGAAATTGTCCATAATTCTTGTCATAAAGCGGCATTTATCACCGCACTAAAAACAACAATATCAAACTTGTACAGAGAGCTGTAAGCCTTTGTGCTCGAAGACAGCAAGTTCTTTCAGAAGTTCCCGAGTATAACTTTGTCAGAAACATACGCGGTAATTCGTGACGACATTTGATTTTTTATATAATACTCAAGAAATAAAGTAGGAATGAGAAGTTCAGCTACTACAAGAATGTGGTCTCCGTGCCAAAAAATTTATAGGCTTCATGCGATGCAAGCGTGAATGAAATTGTGAGTAATGGTGACCAACTCTAAGCTCTCTAATAAAGCCTTCTGTTAGAAAAATCAACTATGTAGATTACCGATTTTTTAGCCAATAAATATCGGTTTTGGAGTAGCAGAATAGGTTTTGCGGTTTGACAAAGACAAGAATATTTTAAGCTGTTCGATGTTATTTCTTTCTTATACTGCGATTTCAGCTCCGGCTACGGCACGCCAGCGCTTCATGTCCAAAATGGCTGCCAGAGGCCAAGTGGTGAAACTTCGTTGCGAGGCTTCTGGGGATAAGCCTATCAGGTTTTTCTGGTCCAAAGACAACAAACCTATCAAGTCATTCTCAAGTCCTAGGCAAGTCATCATCTTCTTGTTTCCTTGCGCGACTGCTTTAGTTATTGTTACATAATATGACCTGCAATGTCACCTCGTTATATCCTGCCACATCGGTGAAAAATGTCTTTCTTCATTTTCACTTGTAAATGCAGGTATTCGATCGAAGACCATTCCGAGGAAGACACTCCCTGGTCAGAGCTGGTGATTCTGTTTGCCGAGAGGAATGACACTGGTAGCTTCAGGTGCGACGTGTCAAACTCTTACGGACAAGACGAGCAGGTGACGCATCTCTCTATACAAGGTAGGCCTCATTGACAGGCTGGCCACATTTTGCCGCATCTCTAGAAAATGAAATGGCACTGCAACCTTTCAGAAGCAATCGGCTGGTGCTGCCAAAAAGTGCCTGTAACATTTGATGTCGATTTCAGCTTCGCTTTCCAGCAAACGAATGAACAGCTCGCCGCTGCATGCAGCGTACCTTTCTACAGCCATATAACTCTCCCCGGAAACTTGTAATATCTGGTTGCATTAGTGATTTAACACACGTTACGTCATTTATATCATGTTATTCATGTTTTCTTAATATATGGTCACATAAGAATAAAAAGGCTACCTACAACTCTTTCGGGGAGTCCTGAGTTGACACATACGCAACTATTTTAGATACACCTGAGCTATTATACTCACTTCAAACAGTCGTGGAATTCACGGACTTTTTTTACAAGGCAGCTATGATATAGGTTCGAAATCCCTAATACTAGATTCAACAAAAAAATTACACGTATTCTTTTTTTAGCGTTATACCAGCAAAAAACACTGCGGGGGAACAAGGTAAATGTTCTCACTGTAAAAAAGTTTCAGATCCTAGCAAGCACATTTTAATATACCACTCTGACAATTATACCGCTGATGCATAAAGATAGAAAAAGTTTGACTAGATAGGCTATATGTTAGGTATCACTACATAGTTGTACAATGCAACATGTCGGTATTTGTTTCCTTCAGACCGCCCCGAACAACCTCCAAAACCGGAAGCGCTCAACGTACTCAGCCGATCAGTGACCATTCTGTGGAAAAGCCCCAGCGATGGCAACTCTCCCATCACCAAGTACATCGTGCAATACAAGAGGAGCAGTCGGTAAAACTCGAAGTTCTATATATTCCTTCATGTCCTGGTAAAATATGATTCTCTCATAGACATTTCAGCGGCAGACTTCACTTTTTTCCTGGCCGTACGAGCAACTGTGAAAGTGTGCCGCGATGTATTCGATCACATTTAAGAGGCTTTATTTGCTCTGCGTTAGCGTTGCAACGTTATTGCAGCAATCGGTAGCCGAGGCATCTCAAAAAATTTTAACCCCCTATCCTCTTCACTTTCTTGTCTAGGTTTCAGCGCCCTCGCTAGCTCGAAAGAAGAGAGAAAGCGAAGAGAGTGCGACAAACACCTGTAACAGCGCTCTCACTCGACTGATGTTAAACAATATTGCGGCCCTCATTTTCGGAGGAAATAAGCTCCGTTAGTGAAGTCATGATGTGATTGCTTCAAAACGAGTCACAGCCCCCCCCCCCCCCTTAAGCATTGTTTATGCAACATTTGCGTCTCGGAAAGACGCATCTGGCATCTCGGCTGAGTGAAGTCTGCTCCATCCTCGAGTGACAAACTGCCAATGGGGATCGCGTATACTTCGCGCGTGTTCTCGTAGAGTCGTGGGACAAGCAGCTGAGCGAGATGGTGGCCGAATCTGACCAGAGCCAGGTGACGGTGCTGGACCTGCAGCCCCTCGCCGAGTACAACTTCCGTATTCTCGCCCAGAACGCCATTGGAGTCGGGCCTCCGAGCGAGGCACTCACCGTCGTCACCGACGGAGAAGGTATTGAACTGAACTTACTTTTATTGAACAGCACACGGTTGTAGTTACGAATGAGCACAAACGTTGCAAGGTCCCTTATGCATTTCTCGGAGACGACCTTAAACTTGAAAGCCTTGTTATTCTCCTCAATTGATTGTATGGATTTTCTCCATCTTACCCCTTCGAAAGCTTTCTGTGCCAAACTTTGTTTCACCCGGCCTCCAAGATCAGAGGCATCGGAAGGATTCTTTACCTCACGTGATCTTGCAGTGCCCCCAAAATCGGCCCACGTTTGAACAAAGGACGACGTCATCATGTCACGTCACGTTATGTGACGTAATTTTAACATGATGATGACGTAATAAATTTTGGTCGCGCATCATCATATGACGAGTATTCTTGCATTACTCGTGTAAACGATGATTCCACCGATGATGCCGTCGGCCAACTTTCGCATTTTCTGAGCCTTTATATTGTTTGCTCTGAAAGATGCAATGGCCACGCCTGACAAAGTCCTTCCACTTGTCACAACACCTTACACACAAATAGCGTCAACCAAACGGAATCACTGATATTGTACAAATAAACAAAGTAGGCCAAATACCAAGCATAATGTGAGGTGTAAATAACTGCAAATATGCACGCAATCACTACTGTCGGTAATGATGACGGTAGAATAGAAGCTTTTATAGCCAGTCTGATATAAGGCACACTGCAGCAATGCCATATGACACTGCATTCGTACTTGTTAAGGGTATTAAAGAAATGAAGCAGCAACCTTATCAACCATGCATGCGGCTGTTTACTGTGATGACCACCAGACAGAACAGCAAAAGTGAGCTTCATAACCAGGCAAACACCTACATTAGCGTTAACAATTTTCCCATTAAAGGGCACAAAATTTCGTGCTTGTTTGTGAGCACGCGCCGCTGACCACACAATGTCTATTACAACTTTTGCAGTGCCTGCAACCCCTCCTCAGAGCGTCAAGGTGACTGCTGTCAGTTCAAGAAAGGTAGAAGTGTCTTGGAAGGTGAGCCACTCAGACAGTTGCAGTGCCTCGGAGAAGAACAGATAGGCATACCCCGCCCCCTTGTATAACTGCTGCCAGTATACTTTACGTCTATCGATTGCAATATATGCTATTGCTGTAGGCCTCTTTCATAGCACCATGAAACGAGTTTTTGAATGGTGTTACTATCACAAGTATTTTTATTTTGATTCCTGCCAGAGCTCTCACTTTCATGGTAAGAGATTCATACACTTGTTTAGTTGGCTGTGCTAACAGGCGACTGTGCTAGCGTATGCGAGTGGTATTAGGAGGAGAAAAAAAATGAACAGAAGGACGGGAAGGTTAACGAGAGGTATTAGATAATACCAAATGCACGGTTATTCAGAAGCTGCTGTGCATCGAGGAAGCTTGTGCCGAAAAAGGTAGGTATTATACCTGCGCTGCGTGAAAACAAGATGAACTGACGGTAGTCGTACTTTCAATCGTGATGGTGTACCTTCATCGTACTGTTTGATCTTAGTCTCTAAAGCAAACTTTGGAAAATCAACTGATTGAACACACCAGAGAGAAAAAATACAGCACTCCATGGCACTACCGTCCGGGCTGTCACTTTTGCGTGTGTTCCGTGTTCCTCGTGTATTTGTGGTTATTTGTTCTAATCATGCGTCTCCAGCTGGCCTGCACCCACACTATATTCTAAAGAAAAAAATGAAAACAAGTTAACTCAAGGGTGGGCCCTCTTTGATCCAATTAACTACACTGAATTGTTATCTTTGTCACCATATACACCGGATGCAATCTCTCTCATCATGTGCGACGGCCCTAACTTACCACACAGTACGCCAGACGCCGTCCGTTGCTCTGCGTGCTTTGAGTGCTCTACCACCATTAAAGTGAATAATTATGAAGCCGTTGAAAAGCAACTTAAAGTGCACTGCGAGTGACGTGATCATTTTCGACCTCTTTAGTATAAAGCATAGTGCTATCTCGCGGCTTTAAAACTAGAAATACGATTTATTTATTTATTTAATTTATTCAATTTATTTATTTGTTATTTTATTTTATTTTACTTTATTTATGACACACTCAGGGCGAAAGGCACTACAGAGGGGAATGGTGATAGAGCATTAGCATTACAAATATCACTGTAATTAGCAGTCTTCATTTCTTTTGTTTTTTATTCTATCCCCCTAGACCATGTAGGCCAGAGGCGAATTTCTCCGTCCAAGTGCTCAGCTATTCTCCAAATAAAACAACCCGAGTCTCTGCGTTTATTTTAAATAAAATCAGTTAAATCAATCTGAGAAGACGTGACATCTCACAGATTGCTTCCTCGAGTTGATTACACACTTTTATAAAAATTAACAGCTCACATTGAACGGAGCATTCATAACGTGAAAGAAGAGGCAAACACTCGCACCACATTTTCGCTTTCCACAGTGTCATGGCGTGTTTCTACTTACTCTATCAAACCTCATCATGTCTAAAATTTGCCCCTACAGTGCATATTATGAATTATCGCTCACTATCTCGCAGGCGCCGCCAGCGCACCTTCAATACGGCGAAATACAAGGCTACTACGTCGGCTACCGCGTTCACGGCTCCACTGAGCCGTACGTTTTCAAGACCGTCACCGCCTCCTCGAGCGCCCAGTCTTCATCGCTCGTGTCCGATGTCGGCGCAGCCACGCGATGCGTGGTCGACGACCTGCAACGCGGCACAGCCTACGTCATCGTGGTGCAGGCCTACAACGACAAAGGCGCGGGTCCCTTGTCCGACGAGATACGGGTGCACACGCACGAGCACGGTAAGTGGTACACTGAGGAACACAAGTTTATCGTCATGTTTGTTTCGTGGCGTTCGCGCGAATAACACAATAGGGCCGAGTGTCAGTCAACAAAGACCAGTGGTGCTTTATTTTCCCAGCCATTTATGCGTTGTAGGTATACGAGAGGGAACATGTTTAAGATAGCTTTCAGTGAGTTCGTTTGTTGAGTGCATATTTAGTGGACCTGTGTAGTAACGCCGAGTTTAAAAAATGTTATCATGACGCGCTTGCCTTTGCCTAGCGCGATACATCCTCTTTTTCTGTACAAACACCAAAGTGAAAACATTATCGAACGGCATCGGGAGCGGTTGCGAAAATATATCTTAAGATTGCTGCCGTATTCAAGGCGACGTTCTTTGGCGTGTAAAACTTGGTGAAAGCGGGATTATCTGATTTAGTGCCATCGATGCATCTTCAGTAGAGGGCGTATGTTGCCCTACAATGCCGTTACTTTTGTTTTTGTAATAAGAACCAGCAATTGTGGTGGGAGTTTCAGCATCCAGCAGTATCGGGGGAATTTCAAAGCTTATTTTTGTACCATTCTTCGGGAAGCTAGTGTCATTCATTTCTTAGCGTGTTCGCTTCGGTGTTTTCAGGTTGCTTCATATCTGAAGAACAGGCATTTTCAGATGAAACTGCACTGTAACATATATCTAACTTTTTGCATCTTAGAGTGGCCTTTTAAAGTTTAGTGATTCACTCATTGTGTGCACTTATCTTCTACAACATACGCGAAGGAAGTGGCTCCGCAGTCATATCAATATTTCGCCGCTGTAAAAATATAGCCGCATAGAGCGGTAGTTTGGGCTACACAACGTGGCGCCTGTGTTGTGTCCTCTCTTTAGCTGTCTGTCCTCGGTCATTTCGCACTGCGCAAATATGTCGATTCTTTATAGAAATTCCGCATTTACCTTGGGCACGTTGTTTATGTGTTGGGAATTGATCAGGTACTGCTTCTTCACACGTACATCATCATTATCACGTGGAGTGCTTCATCTTGATCGCTTGTGGGGACACACCTGAAGAGATTATTCTGCACCCCTCAGGCCGCTGGTTCGCCGCGTCTTTAATTAAAGGCGCGTTAAGTTCTACCTCACAGGTGATGAAGGTGATGAATATATAAACTGATCACTGTGTCAGTCTATCAATATACAGACAAAGATGTACATAACGGAAGGTAGAATTGCATCCCCTTGAGAAGCGAGCAACGTAGTAACATCGTAGGGAGTAGTGACTTTCTGTAGACGAGAACTACGGTGAAAAACTGACAAAGCACCAATGTCTATTAATGATTTCACGTGTATGCTTTCTACCAAAGCAAATATCATGTTATAGGCACGAGCTGGAGAAATTTCTCTGACTTCGAACAATATGTATTCTGTTTCATTTATTACCGTGATTCTGTTGCATAACGATATTAGCAAGTCCTTGATTTAGTCCCTAGTGATGAAAAGATGTTTTTCTTTAATTTTATTCCTTTCCAAAAGCGAGATAAGTACTACACTAATTAAAGTATCACTAATAGTCACTACATATGCCTTCCGTGGATTCTGTATATGGGGGCTCTATTAGGTTATGTCTAACATATGAACAAGCCTCTGATTCATTCCGGTCCTCACGCTTTGTACAAACGATAATTTATGCGCATATTGACGCATGTTGTAATAAGTAATACAAACCCTGTCAAGCCGGTTCTTGGGACCTTTCGCTGTGCTCTTATCTTAGCTCAGTACCTGGTATGGTTACGTGATGAATCTCAAGTTCAAATACAGTCCACGTTCGATAACGGCATACACCACAGATTTAAGACTGAGATGCCCGACAACGCCGAGTAGAAAAACTGTGCCGTTGGCGAGGCCATTGAACACATTTTGTGTTACTGCCCGACATACGTTAACGAAAGGCTTCATCTTGGCCCTTTTCTAAGTCAACTAAACGGAAGCTCCTTCACTGCCGAGAAGATGTTGGGACCATGGGGCTGGCTATCACAATTACAAAAGACAACGCAAGCGCTGTTGCGTCTTCTGAAGGACACCAGTCGGATTCGTTGCTTGTGATGTCAAACGTGGAACTATTGCGTCGACTCAAACAGTGACTTTTCTTTTCTCCTCTATTATCCCCCTCCCCCACCATTTAGTTATGCAGGGTAGACTGCCGGGCTAAGTCCTGGCACTTATTCTTAACCTCTCTCTACTGGTGCACGCAGACCCCCCGCCGCCACCGACTGTCACTGTGACAACGAGGACAACAGAGTCAATAGGTTTGTCATGGACGCAAAGGGATGACGAAACAGACAATGTAGATGGTAAGACGTAGGTAATTATTCTATTTTATGTGCTCATTCACTGGACAGTCACTTCTGCACACGGCGAGTGAGCGAATGAGTTAAAGGATCTTCATCACCGTAAGCTTCTTGAACCATATCTTAGGGGCTGATATGTTTGGTCTGCTCACAGAAAGGAGGATCACAACTTATTTCGAAACACTGATGCCATCGCAGGCAAGTACATCCATGATAGGGCATGGCATCGTAAGTGTTAAAATGTCTTGGTCCTCACCAAAAGTACTGTATCAGTGCTCCAGGAATAGTTGTAACATAAATGATATTGCCAGACAGTATATACATCTCTATAATGTCAGCATAAACTTGTCAAATGTTGGCTAATGATTAGAAATATAACTTTTAAAAAATTACGAGCCCTTGTCCTTTGTGAAGGTTTATTATGGAGGTGCCACATATATTCAAACCACAGCCAATCGTACATTGGGAAAAAGAAATAGAAAATGTTTCCTTCGCGAAGTCTCGAATTTAGCGTATATTCTTTTAAGGCTTTTCATTGGAGCAGCGTGGAACTAGCGTCTGTTTGTCGCATTCTCATTTCGGTATCTTGGGTAGTCTGAAACATATGGCTTGCCGCACATGCTCGCAGCTTCATTTTAACTTGTGCTTACCGCCAATGTGCTTCCTTTTTCATTTGCCGAAGGCCAATGCAGAGTGATGCGGTTTGTCCAATTTGTCTGGCACATGCGCTTTTTTTCATCGACATACGAAAAATCTTTTAAAACATTTATATATATATATATATATATATATATATATATATATATATATATATATGACACTTGTTTATATGAAAAAGAACGATGATAGGAATGTTTTGGAGATTCCAGCTAGTGGGTCAGGTGGTTTTTCGGGACGACAACGAAGCAGGCATCATGCTGGACAGCCGATCCTGAATACGCTCTTTTTCGCTGCCGTAAGCTGCTGTCATCTTTTGTTCGCGTTGCACGTCGACACTGGTGAAGGAGCTGGGCCGCGACGCTGCCCGATGCTTCACACTCCTAGTGGGAGCCGTTCATCCAGCCCGGACGTGCTTACTGCAACCCCTGTCCATCGATTCAGTCGTCGGCTACGAGGTATTCCTCCAGACTGCAACCCCTCGCAGAAAACCTCTACCAGACATCTAGAAATGGCTAACACCAGCCCCAGCCTGTACTTCTCGGCACCAGTCCTCCCGCTCCATCCCAGGTAACGTTTTTTCAATCGCTGGAGCCTAAACGCTTTGGTGCTGGCGCACACGAAGATGTAAAATACTGGTTAGACCACTATGACCGTGTTGCGAAGATCAACCAGTGGTCTGCCCAGGAAAAGCTCGGCCGGGCCTACTTGTATCTCGATGACAGCGCTCGTACTTGGTACGAGAACAGAGAAGGCAACCTGTCCACATGGACCAACTTTCACCAGAAGATGGTTGAAACTTTTGCCAATGTCGACAGACGTGACCGCGCCCACCAACTACTAGAGCTAAGGGTCCGAAAACCCAATGAAACGGTCGCCATGTTCGCCGAAGACATGACACGTTTATTTCGGAGGGCTGACCCGCAGATGACCGAAGATAGGAAGTTGCGCCACCTCATGCGTGGCGTGAAAGAGCAGCTGTTCGCCGGACTTCTGCGCAACCCGCCAAGCACTGTAGAGAACTTCATTAAAGAAGCGTCGGCTATCGAGTGGGCCCTTCGCCAACGCTGCCAACAATATGACCGCTTGTGCAGCAGCCCCCAAACTCAGGCCGCCGCTGTGACGTTTGACAGTCATAGCTCCTCAGCCTGCAAAGTCATAGTGATAGTCACAGTCATAGTCAGAGTCATAGTCAGAGTCATAGTCCGCAGCCTGCAAAGGCTGCGGACTCCGGTAGTCGATACACCCATGGCATCTGTCACTCAAGTCGTCCGTGACGAAATGCGCCAAGCATTCTCGACAGCTGATCCTGCCCCCGAACAACGTCCCATGACGTACGCCGCCGCCCTTCGAAGGTCCCCACCCACTCCGCCTTCATACTACCCGCCACCTGCAACTGCTCCTTGGTCACCACCACAGGGGGAGACATCGTGGTGCCCACCCATCCAGCCCCCATACGACCAGTCGTCTTCTGGCCTGCCATGGCCTTCGTCGCGTGAAAAGTCGTCACGGCAACCACAGCTTCGCCGAACAGACACCTGGCGCACTGTCGACAGGCGTCCACTCTGTTTCAACTGCGGAGGTGTAGGCCACATAGCCCGCTATTGCTGGCACCGCGCCGATCCGTCTCGCCCTCTCAGGCCACGGTTTGACATTCGACATGCCAACGACTACGTATCCCGCCATGGTGATGTCGGTTTTCAAGGACCTCCGGTACCTCGACCCCCTTTCGACGGCCGCCGTAACAATGATGACGAGACTATAAATGATTACGAGCCGGTCTTCTGACATCGACCACGCTCTCCTTCTCCTGCCCAGTCACCTTCGTTGCAGCGCCGCACTTTTGCCGACACCAGAGGAGCGAGGTCACCCAGCCCACACCGGGGAAACTGAAGGCTGCGGCCTCAGGGGGTAAGGTTGCAGGCTGTTGATTGATTGATATGTGGGGTTTAACGTCCCAAAACCACTATATGATTATGAGAGACGCCGTAGTGGAGGGCTCCGGAAATTTAGACCACCT